AGAGAGAGAGAGAGAGTTACTGCTAGCATTTCAGCGAAGATATCCGAGGAGCATAGCGAGGGATATACAACGAGTTCAGGGTATAAAGTAAAGCGTTTATCATAGCTACATATTCTGAGATAGATAGTATTGAATATTAATCGTATTTCACTCACTTCCACTTTCCTTAACTCTCCACAAAGAACCCCGAAATGCAAAATCAAACTGACAAAGACAAGAGATAGAAGTCTCGGTCACTAATAGATGAAATAATCCTTTCAACTAAGCTTTAGATTGAGAAAGAACATATAAACGTATGATTGTGTTTAATCATCTTTTCATGAGGGCGTCATGCTATAGACAGAACTCTAGGTAGATAGTTAACCATTGCATTACGCTATGGATATATTTCCTAGTAGACCCATCTTATCGCCGAAAGAAATGCTACAGGCTTGCGGATAGGTAATTGTATTTTTTTTTAATATGAGGGATCTTGGGTGACTTTAGCCTCTCACAAAATCGAAAGGATTGAAGGCGAAGAAAAATGCGCTCTCATATTGCTCTTAGACAGAAGAAGGTTCGCAGAGGGGAGTCAGGAGACCTGAATGATTCTCGGTTACTGCACAACCACAACATAACCGCTTTGTAAGGTACCGTGGTATTTAGACACTCGACGCAACCATACTTCTTACACACTGGACCGCTGAAACCATTTTGATAGACCACCTAGGGGACCGAGTGCTGTATAAAGCAACGCAGAAGACAAGAGCTGCAATTAATATCCTTAAGATATCGACGGAAACTCCCTAATTCATTCCGGTCTGCAGCTTCTAAGAAAAAAAGACGATAGAGGTATCCGATATATTTCAACGGCATTAGGATGGATACGACAGGGATAGATTACCTGACAACATGCAATCAGCAATCATTCCACGCAGCGACATGTGGCGATCCCAGTCCGCAAGAGCTTATACCAGCCCAAGAAACCAGTAGAACTTTGCAATTGAGCGAGCAATCAGCTTCGCACCTGTGTTTAGAGTGATAAAGAATTTCTGTATGAGGTTCAAAAGGACCACTGGGATGGGATATTTATACCACAGCATTCTGTATTATGCGAAATAGGCTTATGTACTAGGCATGATATAATACTACTCGAGTGCTGTACAAGTACAAACTTAAGTAATAGACAAACAATTACATAAAACAACTTTAACCAAGCACGACAAAGTCGACCTTACGCAGAATCATATTGCAAATATCACAAATATCACTATTTAAAACCAACCTAGACCAAACACCAGACCATCAAGAAACACTATAGACCATGCTCATCTGGAGGAAATGGTCTACAATACATCCATCCCAACAACCAGACCAGTCAAGACAAATGTCATACTCAGCTGATCACACTAAATAACAACCCTCAGTACATACTCGAGTAGACCCAAGAAATCTCAAGACCTCGTCAAAAGCAGATGTTATTTGCATAATTGATCGATTTGACAGCAAGCAAGCAATGAGTATGTTACAGCGACAAAATCGGAGATTGAGAAACGAGGAGAGAGAAGAGGGAAGAGTGAAAGGCAGCAAGAAAGCAAAACCGATGGATGGGTCCCAGCTTCGAGATTGTTAAATGGGGTTTATTTGAAGGGGAGATAATTCAGAGGCACCAGAACGATTGACCTTGAGTCGAATATGCTTGACATATTCCGTGACTTGTTTTGGAGAATTTTGAAAGCAGATGCATGATATGTTCATAAAACAAGAACGCAAAGGTAGTGGGATTTTTGAGTACAGTTTTCAATCGCAGGAGAGCAGTATATCACCAGGCCGAACTCGGCATCACGTCAAAATCATGTTGTAATTATAGATTTGTGTACAAAAAGTTTCATGCGCTTTGATATCTAAGTCATATAATATTTGGGTCCCCCTGAACCTTCCGGAACACTCCAATTGATATCCTGATCTGGAATCTTAATATCACAAGTTTTACAATGAATGCAACTAGAGAAGAGTTAGCAACGAACTCAATACATGAAGAGAAAAGAACAAACTTACTTTTGCGCATTGATTTGAAACCTCACCCCAATATCTTTCGTTGGATCCTCAACATATTCATACACACCAGCCGGACAGAATCTATTCTCAATACCCTTGTATTTGGGGTACGCCACCTCTGCATGCTTATCCAAATCCTTGACCTGCAAATGAACTGGTTGATCCTCCTCGTGATTCGTGCCTGTACGGCTAACACTAGTCAAGATATCAAACGAAATCTTTCCATCAGGTTTTTCGTATTCAATCTTCGGACATTGATCGGCAAGTTTAGTAGCTGCGGCATCCGTAGATTTATGACTCAACGTCCATGGAACTTTACCCTTGAGAATAAAGGCTTCGAGTCCGGAGTACATAATACCACCATATAGCTTCAAAGGAGAATGGAATGATGGTCGCATATTTCGGACTGCTTTTAGCTCTTTCCAGATGGATGATTTCCGTAGTAAGTCCTCGTAATCGTATAGGAAAACAGAACCCTCATCAGTCTTCTGTAACGCAGTCCATGTTGCTTCTGCGGCGAGCATTCCGGATTTCATGGCTGTATGAATACCCTTGATCTTTGGTACGTTGAGAAACCCAGCAGTATCACCAATCAAGGCTCCACCAGGAAACGCACATTTGGGTATCGATTGGAAACCTCCTTCGTTGAGGGCTCGAGCTCCGTACGATATGCATTTGCCGCCTTCCAGAACGTCCTTGTAAAGAGCATGATGCTTCATCTTTTGGAACTCTTGATATGGTGACATCCAAGGATTTGGATAATCAAGACCAACGACAAGTCCGATACTGACTAGGTTGTCACCAAAGTGATACATCCACCCACCACCATAAGTGTCTGCAGCGAGAGGATAGCCCAGGGAGTGAACAACTTCGCCCTTCTTAAACTTTTCCGGTTGAATTTCCCACACCTCTTTGATGCCAAGACCATAAGTTTGGGGTTGACTATCTCTGCGGAGATCGAATTTCTTGATAACTTGCTTCGTAAGACTTCCATGGCAACCTTCCGCAAATAGAGTAATTCTTGAATTAAATTCCATTCCTCTTTCGAAACTATCCTTGGGCTTGCCACTTCGAGAGATACCTAAATCATTGGTGGCGACACCTTTAACAGACCCGTCCGGCCTGTATAATACTTCTGCTCCTGCGAATCCAGGGTATACTTCAACCCCAACCTCCTCTGCTCTATCCCCAAGCCATTTTGTAAATTGATTAAGACTGATGATATAATTGCCGTGATTATTCATCTGCGGCGGGGCAGGTATTGGAATCGAACTACCCTTCGTGAGGAATCGCATCTTGTCGCCTGAGACTGGAGTAACATTTTCAAATCTATTCTCATTGTCTTCCGCGAGCCAATCCGGAAACAATTCGTTGACAGCCGTAGGTTCAATGACCGCCCCAGAAAGTATATGCGCCCCAATCTCACTCCCCTTCTCCAAAAGTATCACTCGAAAATCTTCATTTCCCGCTTTATTTGCAAGTTGTTTTAATCGAATGGCAGCACTTAATCCAGAAGGTCCTGGTGATGTGTTAGTAAAATCCCTCGGTATGTAATAATATTCTTACCTCCTCCAACTATACATACATCGACCTCATCGGACTCCCTCTCCACCGATTTTGGATCAATATCATCCTTCACATCTGCCAATCGACGGGGAATTGTAAGGGAGAAAGCACGTCGTTGACCAGCGATTGGTGATGAGGCAATGCGGGGATGTATGAAGTAGGATTGCTGAAGCATTCGCGGACATTGAGTCGCTATCCTGGAAGCATTTTGTCGGGCGACGTTACGCTGCAGACATGCCGTGACAGCCCTTGAAGAAAACATAATTATTGTCACCTCATATCAATTGATGATGGGTTTATTTAATTTAAAAAGCAATAATTTGCCTCTTGACTCAGAAATGCGGCCAGATTTCGGGAAATTCTGCAAAGCTTCTTGTCTCGGTAATAAAACGGGAACCCGGGCCAATCAGGTGTCACCCGAATGAAAGCCATTTTCGATTTGAATGCGAATGCAGGAAATTGATCAACAAACCATCAAATATCATCACGAAAGCGACAACATGTTTTCGTTATAAGAGTCAGGTACCGGATATGAATATCGTTCCTATTTGGAGAGAAATGTTTGGTAATCTGGATGAATCTGCTGGCCGACCGATGTGGAAAGACTACAACGCTACCTACTGGGGACAAAACAAATGTTCTCTCTCTATCCGTCGGAAACCAGCCAGCGGAGTTGCAAACGGGTCCATCCCATCACTGCCTGCCATCAGTAATCAAATCATCTCCGCTATCAAGAGCATTCCCCATACTTTGGCTGGGTGCATCAATTATGCCAAGACTACCGCACCGGTAAAGGGCTTGGCCAGTACCGGTACTCAGTACTGATGTTCTTCTTTGCATTCTTTTAACCCGTCGATAGTGAACTACCGAAAAAGTCGTGATAATAAGGGGCTATTTAAAATAAATCATTGTTTTGATCAATAATTTCTCTTTTCATTTTGCCCATCTAATCATTTAATCGTTCAAGCCTCAGAATTTGTGATCCAGAGGAGGTCAATTGGGCGGAGACACAGTTTGCCACTGTCAGTTTGACAGATCAAGGAAACCATCAGACTTCCTCACAAATTCGGCGATCATAATTATGATCTTCCAAACCGAACACGTAATGTGTTCAAGTAAGACTACCATTCGTCTGAGCACCTGCCAAAGATCCATGCCAAGGAGTGTTTCCCCTATCCAACACTTGGGACGAAGCTTTTTCGTTGATCGGATGGATGACAAGTGAGTGAATTTGATACTGTTGATATCTCTCGAAATAGAACATTTGATACTGTACTACTGTCACAATTCTAGGTTTGTACACGGTATCGTCTTTTTCCGATAATTGTTTTTGGGGTTGGCCTGTCTTACAAGCATTTTGACGCTTCCCCATCGTTTGAGAGTTGTAGCCGGTTTAATCGACGGTTTGAGCCCCCTGTTTTGAATAACCGAGTTCGAGACTACCCCTATTCGGTACGCGTATGTATCCACGTCGTCTTTCATTCCACTATCAGAAAAGATTCATAGATCAGTTTCGATGACGCACCGCATCCGAGACAATTGATGCTTAAGAAGCTTATATTTTGTCTTGAACTATACTTCAGACCCAGGTACCCCTGAAAGCTCGTGTAGATCCTTCCCCGTTCCCCGTGGGCGTAGAAACCGGAGAAATCCATATCTTTTTATAGAACAAGGTTTCTATCGGACAATATTTGCTAGTTGGTTTCTGCTTTCTAATTGTGGCGCCTTTCATGGTTCTTGCTTGGGAATCGATACCGGATGGGGTATGATGTATAGATTGACAGAATACTTTTCGAGAGATAAACTTCCGATAAAGTGACGATCAGACAGTGTAAGCATGAGCTTGTTTTTTTCTCTATATGTCATCCCAAGGTTTCAAGTGTAAAGGTTTCTACTGGGGCCTAGATCCAAGTCTATCTTCAATCATAGCTTTTGAATCTGGGAATAAAAGACTCAAGAAGCCTCATGATTTGGATATTCATTCCACATCAGCACTTCACTTCTTTGTGTTTAGTTCATTTTCCTTACGAATTCCAATCTTTCAAGAGGTCTGTTGACCTCATTCTACCCAGACATGGAACCTTACTAATATTCTATAGCTGTGCTCTCTTAATTCATTACTTTCGCTATAGATATCGATAGCTCGACGCTTATCATCACACATCTTTCATCATGAAGAACTTCGGATCCATCTTGGCATTCATTGCCATTTCTGCCACACTCGTCTCTACTCGTGCTCTATCAGGAAGCGAGAGTGGTCTCATTGCTAGAGCACCAGTTCCAAATGGTTAGCCAAGAGCACCTTACAGAAAACAAACATAACTAACGAAATCAGTATTGGAGTTCTATTCTCGATCACCAAAAAATAAGCAAAACAAGGACGCCGCTTCTGGTGCTGATACTGCTGGTTGGTTTATCTTTTTCCATCTCATCTTTTCGATAATACTGACTTCTTACAGCAAATGCAACACAAGCTGATGCCGCTACAAACAAAAAGAAGGCAAAGGGTACTGGAGCTGTCGGTGCCAACGCCGCTGCTGCGACTGGGACCGGTAAGAAGGGCAAGGGCGACAAGGTTTGTTTTAACATAGACTTATTTCTGCCATCTCACAATACTGACTTATCCTAGGGAGGCGAAAAAGGCACCGGAGGAGACGCCGCTGCATCTACCGGAACAGCCTCAACTGGAGCGAAAGGCAATGGTGATGCTTCGGCCCAAGCGGGCACCGCAGATAAATCTCCTGCCGCTCAAATCGAAGCCGAGCTGAGCTCGCTCGGTCTCCGAGATCTCCCTATTCTCGATTCAAGAAAGAAACATAAGAACGGCACTGCTGCTGCAACTGGTGATGCTGCTGCAGCTGGTGATGCAGCTGGTGATGCTGCTGCAGCTGCTGGTGGTGCTGCTGCAACTGGTGATGCTGATGCTGCTACGGCTGAGAAGGCGGGAAAGAAGGGAAAGCATGATAAGGGAGCTGATAAGGCTGCTGGAGCTGCGACTAGTGTGGCTACTGCTGATGCTGCTGATGCTGCTGCAGCTGGTGACGCTGCTGATGCTAATAAGGCTGCTCCGGCTGAGAAGGCGGGAAAGAAGGGAAAGAATGATAAGGGAGCTGATAAGGCTGCTGGAGCTGCGACTAGTGTGGCTACTGCTGATGCTGCTGATGCTGCTGCAGCTGGTGACGCTGCTGCAACTGGTGATGCTGCTGATGCTAATAAGGCTGCTCCGGCTGAGAAGGCGGGAAAGAAGGGAAAGAATGATAAGGGAGCTGATAAGGCTGCTGGAGCTGCGACTAGTGTGGCTACTGCTGATGCTGCTGATGCTGCTGATGCTAATAAGGCTGCTCCGGCTGAGAAGGCGGGAAAGAAGGGAAAGAATGATAAGGGAGCTGATAAGGCTACTGCAGCTGCGACTAGTGCGGCTACTGCTGCTGCTGCCGCTGCGACTGTTTGATCGCGCTATTCTATAGTTAGTATCTGTGTGGTCGAGGTTTGCGTTGGTTTGGTCTAATGTGGATTGGGATGTAGTATGGGATTGGATTAGATGGTCTGAAATCTGTCAACTGGATTGATGGTCCAGATGGATGAAATAGATGATCGGGGCAGAGTCAAGGTCTAAGGAGTAAGGGTTTAATATCTCAAGTTGAGTCTTTGTATAAGTTCGATCTTTTGAATGAATTAAATCGAATTTTTCAAAATGAAACTTTCAAACAAATTAAAAGCACTCAAACGATATTGAGTTTCCGAAAGAATACATGATTGATATTTGCAAAGTGTTTTGTCTAAAAAGTCTCCGAATATGTTTGCCATACCTATCATTACACAAGTCATACAATCATGAACTGAGAATTAATATCTCCATCCCGCTTGAACCAGGATATTTTCAACATCGAGAATTAACTGAACAATACACCAATCTTCCCTAAACCTGTCCCAAACCATCTATTACTGATTAAGAGTTTATACTTGAGACAGGGAAGGGATTCGGGCTGTGGTGGTGGTATATTTCTACTACATAGCTCGGTATATAAACCATAGCTCCCCGTTTTTCATACAAAAAAAAAGCACAAAGACGGAAAAACAAAGTACCGAATGGGACTTTCGCAGCTGCAAGCTTACGATACATTTCGATCGTGCTTCAAATAGGATCAGAACCATGAAGTGATGGTTCATGAGCTGGATTGTGTTCTCTTCCCTTCACATATATTGATTATTGGTAACTTCCATTTTACCGCCACCTAAATTCTCATGGTCGTCCCCAGCATTGGAGATTAGATATTTGGTGGGGACTGCAGAATATCAGATGAAACTTCCCGTGTCAGAATTTTCAGTGTAGCTCACGACACAAGCAGGAACTCCCTGGCGTCCATCTGCCCAGACAGAGACCATTCACCTTCAAATCACGCCTAATTTTGTTGGTTCCAAGCAATGCTCTACAAATTATGCTCAACTCATAAGCTCGCTCTTATAGACAAGTATGACGAATTCTGCAGGTATCTAAACATTTTCATCCCTATTTTTTGCTCAGATAACGACATTCACTGCGAGCACTGTGATGCAACGAGCATCATGTATAATAGATCTTACACACACCTTCATGAAACCACCAACTAGAACTTACAGACTATCAAAAAACAACATCAAGTGCCTTACAAATAATCAACATGTTTGAGATTCAATTTGCGTTGAAGTGTAATGTATATAGGCTCCAAAGCCCATACTAGGTGATCGGAAAATCCCCGAAACTAAAGTGTTTTTATGTTGTATACAACACCGACAGCAAATATCGGATCTGATAGAACTATCACTGTCGCAAAACCCCCATATCCGCCATCTCGTCTTCACTCCTCAGCCAGAACTTCCCACCACTAAACATATATCAAGAACGGACAGCCGAAGGAGTTTAGTCCAACCCTCTAACTAGTGGTGATCCTTTAATATGTCACGATCCATTCCACGAACCATTGGTGTAAGTTGCTGAGAGCCTTGCTCTGATAGTACGTTCTCCCTTTTTAAGTAAATCGACTTCAAAAATTGCGCCAATGATCCACCCCACGTGGGGCTATCTGTTTTTTAACCTTTGGCCCTCTCTTCTCAATTATTGCTCATGTGTAACTAATATTAACATCCAGCCCGAATCTTTGTCTTTCAATCAACAGGTTCCCGGTGGCCTCAAGCTTTCTATAAATATCTTACTGTGCACTGCCCTTGTACGGTATAATACCTGACCAGCGTACTTCGATCAAGAGGTAAAAGGCCCAGCTTAGTATAATTCTATAGACACTTCTTTGCTAAGTCGAAGGAAACTCTCATTTAGAAAAGGAGTCAATTGCGAGAACGTGTTAGTACTGGTTCCAACGGACCGTGACAACAATTGGCGATCAATGTCCCCAAAGAGGGTCACTGTCAGTTTCCTTGTAATACGTGATTACGATCGTTTTATCTTTGTTTATCATCATCGTTTACTGAAGAGATGACTACCTAGTATGCCCATACTACACCGAAACATCGAGCGGAAACCACTGGAGTCAAATTAGGGTATTGCATAATACCCAATTGTAGGGTGGATAGGGTGGATCTTGTTTATGGATGAAGAAGCGAGCGGCATGGAGATATTGTGAAACATAGTTTTCTCACTGGAGCATCCTTAGATGATGAATGAGCGCTGATTTCTAACGAGAAGTTGTCTCTAGCCTCCTCTCGTCTCACATATTTTCAAACTTTTTCTTTTATGCTATGCTATATTCATTGATAATTTAGATTTCCTGCACAACATACCTCTGCAGTTATGCATAAACTGAATCTTTCGTCTTTATCTCGTGTCGACATCATAGAGGATACCGCGATGGAATTAGACACTGTAGGACTTGTTTGTTTCTACCCACTACTCTTACATCACCCACCGGATCAGTCTCATATTACAACGATACGGTATCCTCTCCCTCAGCTGGTGTTTCTTCTCACCGGTAAACGTAACAGACTCTCATCTCATCCTATATTACTATTATCGCCGTCGCAGACATGAATATTTATCGCCACATGACATCATATAATCTTACGGTCCGTCCTGGAGCGACTCACAAATCCTACGCTTTGCGCCACTTAGAACACATTTTGACTTCGCCCAAAAAGCCATGGGTGGGATAGGCATGATTTGTGGCTATTTTTTTGGCTCACCTCACGGTGGCACAAGAACCCCCTTTTAAGCATCTCAATATTCCGCTGCACATTCCCAGCCCTATCATGGTACCGAATTATCCTCTTCACCTATCAACCTACCCGCCATATCCACCACTTAATAATCCTTCACTCCGGCCCCTCAACCTCAAAAAGTTTTCCCTGGCCTTACGATAAGATGTTCCTAATCGGACAATAAACTCCCCTATTGCGTTTGAGGCAGTGCTCTACACGCTGTTATGAGGGCGAGGATTCTTCATACAATTCGGAGTTTGTTTGGAATATCTTATTTACACACTTTTTATAGTCTGGGTCGAGATTATGAATTAGTCTCATCTAACACAATTATGTGAAATCGTTCAACTGCTATCGACAAAACTTGAATAGTATCGAATGTGAACCGAAAGTGCTGGCTGTCTTTATAGACATCTGTATATGTACACTGTTGTTCTATTTACGTTTAAAATATCGTATTTATATTTGTAATATCGGGAATGCCCTTCATTATCCGGAATCCCTTTCCGACTATTATTGGAGTCCCGGACATCGAACGATGGTCCAATATACCACTTACATCTACACGAATTGGCATACTCAACGCATTTGGCAAGGTCTAATACACCCCTCGAGCTCATGAAGGTTGAAGAAGGCCGCGAGAGGCTACCATGTGCTGACATTGAATATGTAAGATATGATGTGGGAGGAAGAGATTCAAGATCTTATAGCAACACCTGGCAGGAAATTATCTTAGATTTCCCTTATGTTTCTGTAATTCACTTTCGGGTTAGAACGAAGATCCATTAGCTAATTTGTTGCATCACAACTCCACACAATCCCGCTCTTCCAATCAAATGCCACATCGCGATATTGTGACTTGCTGATATCACTACTGGGTATATATAGAGCCATTATGACCGTTTCTAGCTATGGCATGACAAACTAAGAGCTGCTACTTGAGATAGCAGGTGCGTTTGTGTTCATTCATATACAAGATTCATAGGAAACGACTATATGGAAGACGAGTTGCTGGTGGAGATACGATCTATCATCGTGTTTTATTCATCATTGTTATCAATTTCTACTGTCAGCAAAAGCTATTCTCGCTGTCAACCAAGAAACCATTCCGTATCTCAAACAAGCCCTCAGCAGCTTACTTCCGAAATCCTAAACATGAAGCACATAAACCTATAGTCTTTCCTGACCCCAATTGAAGGCTACGTGCTCCCAAGATAAACTTTAACCTTTGATTTGACCATTGTCGAAATGAGTTCCATCAAAGCCTTCGAGGATCTAGGATTTCTATTAGACAAACTTTGCGCACTTAAATAATTATGTGTGTAATAATAAGATTCTTCCGGCGTCAAATGTGCTGGGAAATTTCGGTGAATCCATTAATAAACTTAGAGTAACCCTATCATTTCTTCCTTCCGATTTAATCACCTTCACTCGCGTTGCATGATAGCACGATGGCACGTTTATCCACGCAGTACTACAAACCGACCTACCCAAGTCTTTCTCATAAGGAGTAGCAAGAAAGCTATCTATAACTCCCGCCCACTAAAAGAACATCTATCTCCCTCGAAATTGTATCATGACACTACAATAGACGTTGCAATATAGGTAAACATGGCACGTGGTAACGCGCTAGACATTCATGTCTATATAGGTCTTCCCGTCTTCAAGTGGTGAAAGCCTCATACGATAATATTTACATACCACGAGCACGCAAAGATATGATATATTACCACAAAGATGATATCAACAATAGACCTCTGAGAAATCACGCCTGTCTGAGGTCTATGTCCTCGAGACTCAAGGATCAATAATACGTCTTTTGGATCTAGGAAAGACAATAGCTACGATCTCAAGTGTCTTAAAGATCATTGTTGAAAGGTTGGTATTGTCATCGAGATTTGTATTATCATTGAAATTCGGATGAGATTCAGATTATTTGTTGTTGTTTTCTTCTTCTTCTTCTTCACCATCACCGCCGTCATTTATCTCGCTCCATGTCTAGATCTTCTCGGGTTGTATACTAGTACGAGTAATATCTACTGAGATACGAGTATATCCTGACACATCACTTCAAAAGCTGCCTACGTCTGCAACGATGTCTTCTATATAGAAAGTAGAAGAGGAAGACCACAAAGTATCCTTAATCTTTATACTCGTATAACCAATATCAACAAATTTGATACTATATTCCATCCATCCACTTCCCACAAACTATTGCGCTAATTTTTTCCGTTCATAAATCGAGTTTTCTCATCATCTTCACTCCCTGTCCCCACAGATTAACCTTCGGACTTCTATAAAAGGATCACTATTTTCAAGTAAAACACATTAATATCCTGTGAAGAACAGCTAAACGATTATACAATGCCATCCTCAGGCGTAGACTCCACGCCTTATTTATTGAGTCCTTGACTTATGTATGCACTACATGTATACAACTAGTATGATGATAAATTTGCACCTATACTATCTCCGTTTGATGTTTCTTTCCTCACCACTGTCATCAAACCCAAAGAACAGTATCGTTATCCCCTAATCTCATCACCATCAGATTCCCTGCTTTCGCACATCGTCATTGCCGTATTCACTGAATATATGAACTAACCATCCCAAAATCAATCAAACAGTTAAACAATCACCAAAGGAGACATCTGTATATTGTCCAGAGAAATTTGCGTGGATGCGGTCTTTCATACCTTGATATGCCTACCTATATATAGGCTTCGAGACGTCTCATTGCAACTGCAGATGGAGTGAATACGTCACGAGAAGTACTTGTATAGCCTAGTTGAGTTAAATATATGGGACTGCTTTAAATACTCAGTGAACAATGTTACTTGCCTGCAAATGATTTTCACATGATCCTGCTTCGGCATGAGTTTGAGAAGAAATACATTCTATATCCAACCCGCCCTCATGTATGCCGTGACAGTGACTGTTTTACTTCAGTCTCATTTAGAGATACTATGAAGTCTTCCGCAAGTTTCGGACTTTCGGACTGGCTGGCATCTCTAGATAACTCGTCCCCAGAACGTAGTCATCCAGAACGTGATACAAATTTGATACAAATCGTGACCACTATATGAATCAAGCAAAAAGAATGCCTTCCGGTCATCGGCAATGCACCCCTTCAAGCAAGGCTTTACTTCTGTCTTCTACTTTTGCTTCTTCTTTTCCCATTCCCCAAAGTTCACATATCTGAAATTATCTTAATCTTACTTTACAACAAACATCCCCGGACTGAGAAATAAAAGTACTCAACTCCTACACAGTGCCTTCGAAACCGTTGTAGTAGATATACCATCGGAAATCTCCAAAGCTATGACTGACATAGGCTTGAGCAGAGAATCGACCGAATACAAAAAACCCTCGTCTAGCAGAACCCTGCCGGCTCAGACCTTGCCTCGATGTTCTAAGAACACGACATCAAATATGATCAAAAAGTACAGACACTAATCGAACTCGTTCACCTCGACAATAACCCTATGCAGATTAAGTTTCGAACTGAGGAACACACAGAGGAAGTATATTATCACCCGGCGTAAAAAGACCCTTCCGACCATCGGCCTGACAAAAATCATGGTATTAGGGCAAAGGATATTTACTTCCGCCATCTGAAATTTAGGGGTTTAGACAACGGCACACTCTATATTGCGCCCCCAGACTAATTCCTCCACCATATCTAAAGTAAAAGGTTAGAAGGGTGTGATGAATGTATTGATCATTCCGTTCGAAAAGAAGAGGTGGGATGGTTTGTCCAAGCACCACACGGACAAATCCACTCCGCCGGAGAATTCTTACCTCGAAGTCTCATACCAATAACACCTTGGCGGAGTATGAAGATCTCAGAGCCTATCCCCAAAAATCTAGCATCGTAGTGTTTGGATGTGTTGTCTCATTTATCGTCGAGAAATGCGGTCGGCGGAATCAGGTCAAAGTTGGAAGATTGATCAATTGGGGCGGGCGATGAGCTAATAAGCGAAGTCATTTAGTACGATAATTAGAACTTCAAGGCTTACCAAACTATGAATGTTGAAGCGTAATGTAGAAGGACTAAAGCGAAATATGAACTGAATAGCACAGACACCTGCCATATTTCTTTATCTCTGAAAGCAATATAGGAGGCTAATATCTAGATTGATGCCGAACCTTAAAGCATCAGTGTTTGTCGGCACCTTGAATTTCCAACTCACAATGCCCAAATTGATATCCGGTACTCATAATATCACTCCAATCAAAAAATTTGCTGCCAGCTATACTTTCGAGGTCGTCCACGGTGTAGCAAGGAAAGAGATCTGGTAAAAGTCCAAGTCCTTGCAATGCGTGCGCCCAGCGTTGCAGTAAGCCAAACTTCTTCCTAGAGAATAAAATATACTTCAAAAGGTGCAACTTTGCATGCTAAGCGTTATATGGAGGAATTTGGGTGAAATGATTCCTGGCTTTGAAGAAATATCAGAATATAATGCAAACTGATGCCTTGTTCATGGCTAATAGTCAACCACATGAACCATCTGATACCACAAAAGCCATCAGGGTGTTGTCTCGGCGCCGAGACAAGTGCCTCAAGGTTTTCTTTTAAGAGAATGAGGCTTGAAAACCTGCGTCCATAATTGTTCTCTTCAAAACAATTGCAATACTGATCACTTATCAATTGTTGTTGAACTACAACAAATAATATCCCCATTGCACATAGCTTCCATCAGATTTACAACCAAGAACCACCAATAACCAACAATCACTACCAAACTTACTATGCCCAGTGAAATAGCTTGGTTAGTAGCCCGTTTTCTGTTCAAATTGGGTTTCAATGTCGACAACAATTTTAAGTTTTCCAGACCAAAGTTCCACTGCAAGAAGAAGCTGGCTAAACTTCGGGCCAAACAAGAAAAACTTTGGAAACAAGAAGAGGCATGGACCAAAACCAATTAGCGTCTTGGCTAAATTACCAACTTGGCTCTCACTCTCACCTCCATCAATTACAATCAATTACCATCGACCTCATCATCACCATTCTCACTGCAACAATTTCACCACCATCCACCCGCTTTATTTTCATTCGCCACCGCGTTACAACCTACCTTCTTGTTATCGCTCACTTGTCAAAAATGTCCCTCATACGCGCCATTCCCCGCGCCACGAGCGCATTCGCCCGCACACCATCGCCCGTCTTCAATCAAATACGCAACTTATCTCTTACCGCAGCACGAAAATCAGATCATGGGGATCACTATGATCCGCCGAGCGGATGGTTATTTGGCGTGAAGCCTGGAGAGAAGGTGGAGAAGGAGGGGTGGGAGGGATTGTGGCTTTATGGATTTTTTTGGGGCGTTTGCTTTTGGGATTATTGGTTATGCATTTAAACCGGATACTTCGTAGGTTTTTCCATTTTATTTTGTTTCTTGTGTGTCTACTGGTTACGGGTGAGGGATGGGAAAAGTGAGATGGAGGCTGGCTTGAGGAGATTTTGGATAAGGTTGGGGAGATTGGGAATTCGGGCAAAGAGGATGGAAGGGCTGTGGCAAGAAATGAGCCCGAGAGTTTTGGAAGAAGGACTTCTACAGAAACTGCGCTGCATACATATAACGAATCCCTACTAACCCCCACCAACAGGATACAAACCTGGGCACTAGAAGAGGCACGCAGAAGGTTAGAAGTGGAAGGGATCTTAAAGGAGCCCGAAGACAAATCATAAACGGATTCAATTTAGATTGAGCAAGCGACGATGGAGAAACCGAGCGAAGAGTGATGGATTATGAGGAAAGCTGTACATATGAAGGATTGATGAAGGCAGAGGATGGACATCTTGCGGGACGCATATCAGCATGTACGGGCTGCACGGAAATATGACACGTGCTAATAGAACGAAGGAATACCATTTGAGTTTTCTTTTCTTTGGCTAAAGAGATGAGTCAGGCCCGTGGGAGCTTATGTATAACTCGGTGTGAGGAATCGATTGACTTTTGAGTGGTGCTCGTGATGTATAAAGGACCCGCGTACTGTCATCAAGGCCAAGGTAGAGATTATATTATATCCATCTCCGGATCTACCTCATTTTTTCAGTATCAAGACCATATCTGCTACTTTGTTTGAAATCGGTCATACAGCAGCTCTTCACAATGCGGGAAAAACAAGCAAATTTTGACAAGTATGTATTAAAGTACTTGCATTTGAATTTAATCCATATAGCTCTATAATATCTACCCATACGTATATGGCCTCTAATTAGGTACAACATAACTCCACTCATGTTCTTCATCACCATATTGTCTCGCCTCGATCCATTCCTTCATCCTCAGTGCAATCTCACCAGCTTCTTGGCCTGGTTGTAACCCACACTCGACCAAGTTGCCCTTCCATGAGATATTCCTCACTGGACTGACTACTGCTGCTGTACCTGTTCCGAATGCCTCTAATAACCTTCCTTCCTTCGATGCATCTGATAATTCTCCCATTGTGTATTTGCGCTCGGAAATGAGCCATCCCTCCTTGGTAAGTTTCTCGCGAGCTAATGATAGAACAGAGTCTCTTGTGACACCTTCAAGAATGGTACCGTCTAATGGAGCGGTAATCAATTCCTTCTGACCATCCTTATTCTTGAGAGCCACAAACATATTCATGGTTCCAACCTCGGTCACAAATTCCTCCTCACCGAACAACCATAAGTTTTGGTGAAATCCCCTTTTGGCGGCCTCTAATTGTGGCAATATACATGGAGCATAGTTTGCACCCAATTTTTTGTCTCCAACTCCTCCTGGCCATGCTCGTACTGCATAATCTGTTGCCTCTAAAGATACGGCCTTGAACCCAGTAGGATAATATGGTCCGACTGGGGAAGCAATAACATATAGTAACGCAGATCCTGGTGGTCCAACACCCAATGTCCTTTGTGTCCCAATCATAGTAGGTCTCAGGTATAATGAATAACCTCTAGCATCCGGGATGAATCGTTGTTCCATAGCCGCGAATTTCGAAATCAACTCAATCATAGCCGGTTGATCGAATGTCGGCATAGCAATTCGAGCCGAAGACTTGTTCATTCGTTCCATATTCTTAGTAGGTCTAAATAACCTTACTTTTCCATCTTTATCCTTGTATGCCTTCATTCCCTCAAAACATTCAAACGCATAGTGGAAAACGCAAGATGCGGGATCGAGAGAGAGGTTTTGGTAAGGCGTTATGCGTGCTGGTAACCATCCTTCAGAAGCTGTCCATTCAATGCTAAGCATATGATCTATGAGCGGTCAGCAATTGATGATGTCCAGATTTCTCCGAGGAGCTTGCCTGTAAACGACCTCCCAAAGACCAATTCATTAGGAGGAAGAAGTTCACTAGGAGTGATGTTTTTGGTTATAGTTAATTTTGAAGGGTCGATATCCTGTAGCTTTGTCGTCGTTGCAGCTTCCGCTTGTATGCTGTATAATCTCGATGAGCCATCCCACCGTCTCAACACTCTGGAGCTTGGTTTTGCAAAAGCTGCCCCTCTTGGGAATAATTGACGAAGCATTTTAACCAATTTTGAAAAATAAAATGTTGATTTAAACCTCGAACCTTTGATCTGGGATAATTGACCTTTTTAAATATGTAAGTTCTCACCTATGCTTTGAAATAATGCTTCGGAGTCAAAAGGTAGACTTAAGTTGACAAAATAAATTTAGTTACTGTGACCACTTTCCGGCTCCGAATTGCGGAGGGGTCAGCAATGATTTGCCCTGTAAAGATTGCAAGGATATATACTTTATGCAGGCTTATGTAAGCGACATAAGCCTTATATTGGAAAGAGAGGCCAACAAATCTAAATTCCAAGCTAAATGAACCCTTTATTTGATTTGACAAGGCTTACACTTTTTATTTACTATAGGTAGGCACAGAACAACTCCGAGTTCACAATATTATAATATGCTTATTGCGATTGCGTCGACTACACAAATCTATTCAGTATTATACGACAATTACCTTAACGAAATCAAATATCAGTCATTACAAGCTTCCCCATAGTATTAATTATAAAGACTTTAGGTTTCATGCGTTAAAACTTCGGATAAGCCTTTGAAGCACCCCGTGTTGGCAGGAGGAGAGTTGCGAAGATGTTTAGTTCCGCGTTAAAATCCTTCAGTTCGAATATAAACTCGAATTATTCAGTGTCATCCACTCCTAGTTCATACTCGGGGCCATGGAAAATATACGATGCGAAGAAGAAATCGACAGGAAAGACTGCGTCAATCTTTATCCTCGATCGCAAATCCTTAGATGCACATGCAGGATCCTTGGGACGGTCAAGTGCGTCGTCGATGAAGCGCGCGACCGAGGACGTAATTGAAAGGTTAAAGAAAGAGGCTTCGTCGTTAGCAAGGCTGCGGCATCCTAGTATTCTGGAGTTAGTAGAGCCAGTGGAAGAAATAAGGGGCGGAGGGCTACAATTTGCGACCGAGACTGTTACGGCATCATTATCTGGCCTGTTGCAGGAAAAGGATGAACAAGAAAGGGCTGGTGGTGTTGGCGGACGCACAAGTCGATATGTTACTGAGGATTCGGAAGGTGGCAGGAGGAGGAGAGAAGTTGAAATAGATGAATTGGAAATACAAAAGGGTCTCTTGCAGATCAGCAAAGCATTGGAATTTTTACATGATAATGCTGGTCTCGTACATGGAAACCTAACGCCTGATGCTGTGTTTGTGAATGCCAAGGTGAGTTCGATGCCCAAATTCATGATAAATTTTCCAACACTAATCATTTATAGTCCGATTGGAAAATCAGTGGACTTAGCTTTTCAACTCCACCAGACAATTCGACGAAAGCATCTTCGGTGCAGCCCATCAACCTTTCCGAGGTTCTCAATATTGATCCTCGACTACCGCGTTCTGTCCAAATCAACCTCGACTATTGTTCTCCAGATTTTGTCTTAGATTCAAATCTAAATGTTGGGGCAGATATGTTCTCGCTGGGTCTTCTCGTTGTCGCTCTTTATAACTCGCCCCATACTTCACCACTAGAGTCTAACAACAGCGTTTCTGGCTACAAACGGTTGTTTACTTCGTCTTCTACGATACCTTCATCTAGCAATAGCTTCTTATGTAAGAAGCCATTGCCGAGAGATATGGTTGGAGGGGTGCTACCGCGATTGATAACCAGACGTCCAGCGCAACGCATGACCGCAAAGGAGTTTCAGCAAAGTGCCTACTTTGATAACATTCTAATATCTACCATTCGATTTCTGGACGCTCTACCCACGAAGACACCGAACGAGAAAGCGCAATTTATGCGTGGTTTATCGAGAGTATTGCCCTCGTTTCCAAAAAGCGTTATGGAGAAAAAGGTTTTACCGGCTTTATTGGAGGAAATGAAGGACCGGGAACTGATCTCATTAATTTTACACAACGTTTTCAAGATCATCGAATTATTGCCTTCTGGAAGGCGGCCATTCACGGAAAAGATTATGCCTAAACTGAAAGAGATATTCTTGAACAACCCGAAGCCTCCTACTGAACGTGATGCTACAAAGGAGGCTGGGTTGATGGTATTACTTGAGCATATCAAAGTAATATCTGACAACTGTTCGGGCAAAGAGTTTAAAGATGGTAAGATATTTGGTCAAGACTAGGCGTATTGTGCTAACAGATTTAGATATCCTCCCGATTGTAGCAATCTCAATTGACTCACCTACACATGCACTTGTAGATGCCGCATTACGAAGTTTAAATGTTGTTCTACCTGTCCTCGATTTTTCTACCATCAAAAATGAACTCTTTCCAGTGATTGCCTCAGTGTTCACTAAGACTAGTAGTCTGGGAATCAAAGTTCGAGGTCTGGAGGCTTTTGTAGTTCTTTGTGGTGGCTCCAATGATCCAGCCTCCAAAAATGATGGTCTCGATGGCATTGGCGGTGCTAAGAAGAACACATCAACACCTCTTGATAAATATACGATGCAGGAGAAGATTGTCCCACTGGTTCGGGCAATCAAAACGAAAGAACCTGCTGTTGCAGTCGCTGCGCTTAATGTCCTTAGGCAGATAGGAGCCATAGCCGATGCAGAATTTGTTGCCATGGATATTCTCCCAATATTATGGAATATGAGTTTGGGACCACTACTGAATTTACAGCAATTTCAATCTTTTATGGAACTTATCAAAAGCTTATCTGTTCGCGTCGAGTCTGAGCAAACAAAGAAACTACAAGAGCTATCTGGAATCAATGGTGCAAGGGCAAATGGGACCGATGATTTCATGTCGTTTGGCGCCGCCTCAGCATTTCCATCGGCGGTTGGATCTGATGACCCGGAGATGGACTTTGAACTTTTAGTTAAAGGCGATACCGCGGCACCATCATCAAGCAATCCCTTAGACACCGGCTGGGATGCCAATCCTACAAGTAACCGAGCCCAGCAACCCCAATCATTACAGCCAAAACCAGCTTCTTTCGCATGGTCTACTCCATCACCGACAGCGCCCTCATATCCCTCTAACTCTATTAATAATGTTCTCCGTCCCCAACAAAACACCGCTTCACGCACAGTTACACCCGACTTGTCCAGCTTTGGCGCTTTAACACCATCGGCTACCCAATTTTCACAACCGCTTCAACCTCAATCTAATTACTCAAACCCAATACAACCCCAATCAGCATTCTCGCAACCTCAGTCCTCCTCCTTCTCTCACCCACAATCCGCCTTCCCCCCACCCAAACCCCCCACCTCCACCTCCAACTCCACCATAAACTGGGGCACCACCGTCTCAGCCTCAGCCTCAACCTCATCCTCAACCCCCAATCCCTGGAATTCTACACCCACACCCACCCCCACCACCTCGTCCCTCTCACCCATCTCAGCACCCCCTCTAAACCACTCTCTATCCGCCATTTCTCCAATGAGTAACTCTATGTCTTCACTCTCTATGAATATGAATCAAGCACAAGCGCGGCCTGCGTTGATTAGTTCGCAGAGCACAAATTCGAATTCTTTTTCGAGTTTTTCGTTGCCGCCGCCGCCTAGTGCTGGGGCTGGTGGGGGAGGAAGTAATTATAGTGCGTTTGGGGGTATGGGTGGTGGGGGACAAGGAATGGGATTGGGAGGGATGGGTGGAACGAGGATGGGAATGGGAATGGGACAGCAAAGACCGGTTATACAGCAGCCGCCACAGCAGTCCCAACATCAACAGCAACAGCAAAAGAAAAGTGGCCTAGATGCTTTTGAAAGTTTATTATGAGGTCAGATAAGGTAATACGATGATTACGATGGATGATGATGATGTATATCCATTCTATTCTATTCTATCTGAATAGGAAGGAAGCGAGCAAGCGAAATATGTAGGGACTAAATAGTAATTCAAGCTAAAGTCCAAAACATGAAAATGCAAATGAAAACTGTTTTGGGATGATATAAGGTATCTAGACTAAAGCAAAATGAGCTAGATTATTACCTAGGCTTTAGTGTGATTACATCTGGGTACCGGTATACTTTTTCTCGCTTCTGTGGAGTCTATATTCAGGGGAAAAGGGGGATCTATTGACCTAGAAATTAATTGGTTAATATGGATGAGATAAGGTAGATGGTATGGTATAAATTCTGAATTGCTTGTAATGCTTTCTAAATCTTCCCCACGCTTCTAGGCAAATGATGCAGATGATAGATATCTAGATGAATATACATGGATAAAAATGTGCAGCTTTCATTTCTTCTTCTTCGTTTATCTCACTTTCGCGGACGGATGAAAAATTTCTATAGTCCTTTCTCTGCACGTGCCTTTCGGAAGAAATCAGTTACTGAGGTGAATACGACGAGTAAAATACCACCACCGGGTCCTAATCTGAGGACCTTGGGTAGGAATCCTTTGTATAGTGCTGCGAAACCTTCTTCCTTCATGACGGTTCCGAGGGCTGGCCATGCCCAGTTGTATTTTGGTGCTAGGCCGGCGACCTTGGGACTATTTTGGATACGCGATTTGACGACATCCATGGGGGTGTTGACGATTGTACCGGTGGTTCCACCGATTGCTCCGGATATCATGTTGATTAACATTTCCTGCTTCTTATTCTCGGGTTGGGGCATTAATGCCTTGACTTGAAAAATACATCCAAAGTATCCGGCGTTCCATAAGATGTGTCTCCACAGTGTACTTTCTAGTCCATTGTAAAGAGCCAATGGTCCCTCGGCCTTCACAATCTTGCTCACGCAATCGATCATGCCTGAGTATTTTCCAGCAGAGGCGCGATCTTGTAGACGGATCTTGACAAGTTCGAAGGGGACGACTACGAAGGATTCGGTTGCACCGGCGGTAGCTCCAGTTAGGATGGAGAGGGATTGGTTCATTTTAGCGACGCCGAATATATCGCGGTAGAACTTTCCCCATGATTCGTTGGCCGCAAATTTAGTGGCACGTTTTGGGGCTTCCATCAGGATTGGGGCGTTGATTCCGCGGTATAACCGTGAGAAACTTTAAATAAAAGGGTCAGAAATGGAATGGGCATGCGATTGGAAAAGTGAGGGAACTTCGTATTACGCACCCTTCGTTCTTGATGATCTTTCGGAAGCAATCGACCATGCCATTGTAGCCATCTGGTCCCGCCGAGCTGGTTTGCAGTTGTCTATTCTCCCGTCAATATCCTGTATGATGTACTGGCGTATGGGAAACCGAAACTCACACTCGAGTCTTCACGACATCTAACGGGTACCTGCATGAGTCAGTACATTGTAGTAGGGAATTGCTTATATCTCCATGAGGGGCACTTACATAATAAGAATCTATCGCAATTGCATATAGTTTAGTCCAAATGTTCAGCAAGCTTGCAGAGGATACAGCGAAGATAACTCACTTCCGATACACCTGCAATTGCACCTACATTCATCTCTGTCAGCTTCAAATTCATGAAATGGGGTGAGGGGTAAACGTACCAGCTGCGAATTGGTAAACGAAGGGAAGAGGCTTTTCGGTGGACATGATTGCGATTGAAGCTATAAAATGGTCAGAGATGAATACCGGGTATTACATTCTGCTGTAGAGAGATATAATATAATAAATAGAAAGGGGTCGCCGGTGTTGGATGTAACTGACATACCTTTAATTATCTATTCTATTCTATGTATGAGTGAGTAAGTAGGTAAGTATATTTGATTGCTGAGAAATTATTCTGATCTTGTGCTCTGTGCGACGACAATCTTATCAACCCCAGAAAATATCTCCACTCATAGCCGACGATCGGAGCTTCAGGAATGAAACACCCGAAAATTAAGACAGGGGTAATTGGAAAGAGGAAAGAGGGGAAAGGGACTAGCGGGTATTGTGCGAATAGATTAGTCCAGTACCGTTACCCGGCTGCCCGTACCGTTACCCGTACCGTTACCCGTACTAGAAGATCAAAACACGCTAGTGAATATCTGATTCTGAATAAGAAAGCGCGTCCGAGTCCATAACTTGTATCGCGAAGTCGCGTATTCAACTCAATTCAATTCAACTCCACTCCATAAAGTCACAAAGTCATAAAGTCACAAATTCAACAAAAGTCAACAAAGTGCAAGAACTAATCATCCCAGCTACTTTAATATTTTGGTACAAACTACTTTGAAAATTACTACACTCCTTCACTTCATCACGATTTATCTCATGTGTCATATCAATTCATATTTGGTGAAGATATAATGCCTCTTCAAAAGTCCTTCTCAGATACCAATCATTCAGGAAAAGAAAATAGTGTATGTATTCACTCTACTCTTAAGATCGGCTATCAGAAAATGATAGTTTCTTGAATCAATGGAAGCTAATTGAACAAAGTCTCGACCACAATGGCAGGGAAATAAAAGTTATCAAAACCAACAGCAAAAGCTTAAAGTGCCTGCAAAGCCATTAGCAGAGAAACTGCCGATTCCTATCTCTACAACTACGAAAAATATACTTAGCAATTTTCAATATCGGGAACAGACAGAGAAAAGGGACGGTTCGAAAGAAGTTATAAATCTGGTGTCATCGGAAGCGGATAGTAGGAATGTCACACCCTCGAAGAGGAGGCGACGGAGCTCTCTGAAAGATGGGAAAATTTCTATAAAGGAAGATGCTTCCCTCGAGGAGCCCGCCCCTGCCGATGCACCCTACACACCATCAATTGGGTTTGACCCTACACAAAATGCCGATTTCAAACGACCATTCATAGCGGTATCCCCAGACGATCGCATAATTTGGGACACAAGCAAAGATAGTCAACAATTACCTGATTCACCGAGTGTCAACTTGGGGAAGAGAAAGAGAGGCGATGGCGAGAGTAGTAGGGCACAAAGCTCTTCCCCTGTACTCGGTCATTCTTCGCAAGCAAATTCTTTTCCCCAGCCGGGGCCAGAGGTAGATATGTGGATGCGAATAGCTCAGGAGGATAACAAGCTCTTACGAATCATGGACAATGCGTCTCCACAATCATCTAAAGAAGGGTACACACCTAGGGGTTTCACTCGATCAAGAAGTCTTGGGAATCCACTAAACCCAAAGAGGCACCAGCCGAATAGGATAGCGAAAAATAGAGATATCGATACTCCAGGTTTGATAAGGCGATTGCAAGAAGATTATAAATCAAAGGAGATTTCTAGTGGCCCTTCAAGCTCATCACCTCTTCCCGACAAAGGACTATTTCCATCTGAAGCACCAAGTTCCCCACTTGGCCGGAAGGGAAAGGAGATGAGGACATCACCCCTGAAAAGGGGAATTCGACCGCCGTCATCACCCATCGCGAACGTTGATTCTGCTGCTCCTCCACCGAGTCCAAAGAGACCTTCCCTTTCCGAGTCAGATTATGGTTCTGATGATGGTCTTGACGAAATTGGTGGAATGATACTTACGGCTATCGAATCACAAAGTCAGGCTCGTCCTACAGTTTCGATTTCACGACCACTACCACGACCCCAAATCTATGACTCGCCGAGTAAGCCAAGAACTTACTCCACGCATAAACCCCCAATTTTATCTGAAAGCTCTAAGAAGTCGAAAGCAGCAGACGATGATAGTAGTGATGAATTTGGTGAAGGTTTGGATGACGATGATTTCGATGCCGCTTTTGCAGGATCAGTTCAAGCAGATGATGTAGAGCTTCCACCATCAAGGCCTAGAGGCACAGCAGTTATGAAGGTAGAGTCTGATGATGAATTCGGTGACGATATAGACGATTCGGATTTTGCGGCTGCGGAGATAGCAGCAACTCAGTCAGTCAAGCAATCAGCAAATAGCTTGATGCCTGTACGTTCAAAAATTCCATAGAAATATATCATTAATCTAATGCTAAGAAATGTCTAGTCTATGGAAAAAGTTCGCGCTATTCAAAGATATCTTGTCACCCAAATAATTGATAGTCAATATGAAAGCTCGAACGGCAAAGTGCAACCAGAAAAGGTAAATATCAGTAACCTGTTACATTACTTTAGCTAACCAACTCAAGATATTGATCCTCCAACCTGAACGCTCCAAAACCATTAAAACCGTTAATCTCCGAGGCACCTGGGTTGTAACTCCAGTTACTTTGAAAGCCTTTGTCCATATCATTGGCAAGTTCGACTCACATGGGATTTGTATCATAGATGATAACTCGGGTCTCATCATCCTACATCCGGATCATCTTATCTCTGCACTTGTAGTCGCAGATTCTTTCGGATGTACTCGTCGTGCAGTTCTTCAAGATAGGGTCAAAGCCACTGGTGAACCATCTCCAGCGATGCTTTATGGAACGATTCTACATGAGATCTTTCAAGCTGCGATGCTTGCTAATCGCTGGGATGCATTGTTTCTAGGTGAGCTCATCGACAAGCTTGCTCAGAGGCATCTTGAAAACTTGTATGTAATCAAGGTTCAAATACCACAGGCTGTGGAATATTTACACAGTAAAATGGGAGAGCTGCAAGCATGGGCAGCATTGTTTATATCTTCTCAACCAAAAGTGAGTGAATCAATTCGTCTATCCGTTCTATATGCTGATTTCCTTAGCCTGAAGCTCTAGTAAAGGCGGGCAATGGTGATACTGTGGCTATGTGTGTCAGTAACCTTCTCGATGTTGAGGAACATGTCTGGTCTCCAATGTATGGGTTGAAAGGCAACATCGACGCTACAGTACAAATCACCATGAGAGACGGAAAAGGGCAGAGAACCCTCACTGCTCCTTTTGAGGTCAAGACTGGCAAGAATCCTAGCGTAGCAAACCGAGCACAAACAGCACTCTACAACCTCCTCATATCCGATCGATATGATGTCGAAATTGCTTATGGTATTTTATACTACATGGAAACCTCGGAGACCATCAGAATTCCTGCTATTCGTCACGAACTTCGCCATATGATCATGCAACGGAATGAGCTGGCGTGTTTCGTACGAGAAAAGAATGCCCAGCTTCCGCCTATGCTCAAGAAGGATAATATGTGTGGTAGATGCTATGCGAAGAACACCTGCTTCATTTATCACAAGCTGGCCGATGATGGGAATGGTGAGACAAGTGGCATGAAGGAAAAGTTTGACGAAGTTGTCAAACATCTCACACCAAGGCATAAAGAGTTTTTCCTCAAATGGGATGATCTTCTTACGAAAGAAGAGAAAGATTCTTTGAAGTTTCGTCGGGAGCTATGGACTATGCTTAGCTCGGAGCGAGAGAAGCTTGGTCGATGCTTTTCGAATGTTATCATTGAACCTGGATCAGCTTACGAGGATCAAAACAACGAGAAGATCAATCGATATCGATACACTATGATCAAATCTATTCCAGCACTACCAGGATTCTCCTTTATGGATTCTCAAATAATTGTGGGAGAACCAATAGTCATTTCGGATGAAAAAGGCCACTTTGCTCTTGCCAAAGGCTATGTTACCAACGTACGCAAAAACAGAATTACAGTCGCAGTTGATCGTCGGTTACACAATGCTCGCATTAGACAACCTGGATTCGATGAGACTAACAACCAAGTCTTTGCAAGTATCATGGAAGTCGCTGGCGAAGGATCAACACCAGCGGATTCCGTCGGCAAAATTGTGGATGAGCCAATTCTTTACAGGCTCGATAAGGATGAGTTTAGCAATGGTCTTGCGACCGTTCGAAATAATCTTATCCAGATCATGACCGAGGGACCTTTTGGATCACGCGAAATTCGAGGTCTGGTCGTCGATCTTAACGCGCCTCGTTTCAAACCACATTCCACGCAATATACACTCAAAGACCGCACGTGTATTAACGTGGACCAACGTCGTGCCATCGAAAAAGTCATGTCCGCACAAGATTATGCTCTCGTGCTTGGTATGCCTGGTACAGGGAAAACCACCACCATTGCTCATATCATTCGAGCTCTTGTTTCGCAAGGGAAATCAGTTCTCCTGACTTCCTACACTCATACAGCTGTAGATAATATTCTCCTCAAACTCCGAGACGACTCGATTCCTATCTTACGTCTCGGAAGTAAAGCTAAAATCCACCCCGATGTTCAGGAATTTGCCAAGCTCGCAGTCGATCCCAAAGATACCATGGAAGAAATTCAAAGTGTCTGGCACGATACGCCAATCATCGCCACTAGTTGTCTCGGAATCAATCATCCCATTTTTAACGAACGTACATTCGATTACTGTATTGTCGACGAAGCTTCTCAGATTACACTACCCGTTTGTGTCGGTCCCATCCGTCTCGCACGCACATTCATCCTCGTCGGAGACCATAACCAACTTCCCCCCTTAGTCAAAGACGAAGAAGCTCGAAAAGGCGGTTTAGATATCTCTCTCTTCAAATATCTCTCCGATGCCCATCCTCAAAGCGTCGTTTACCTTGAACACCAATACCGTATGAACGCCGATGTAATGGCCCTCTCTAACACACTCATCTACAATGGTCGTCTCAAATGCGGTAGCGATTCCGTAGCTACTCGCAAAATCATCATCCCCGAAATGGATGCGCTAAAATCACATCATCATACACCCAACAGTATATTACGTTGTACTCAAAAATCAATCTGCTTGGAACCAAAAAGAGGAAGATGCTGGTTGAGGGATTTGTTGGATCCAGATGTTACGGTGGCATTTGTGGATACAGATGGGCTTGGGGATGAAGCAAGAGAGAGCGAAAAGGGGAACAGAACGGTGAATGATGTGGAGGCTAAAATCGTTACCCAGCTCGTTACGTCTTTGATATCCACTGGTGTCGATCCCGCGGAGATAGGAGTCATGACACATTATAGATCTCAACTAGCATCACTGAAAGAGGGACTTCGAGGTGCTAAGGGGGTAGAAATGCATACGGCAGATCGTTTCCAAGGAAGAGATAAAGAAGTCATCGTACTAAGTTTAGTACGCAGTAACGAGGCGGGAAATATTGGTGAACTTCTTAAGGATTGGAGAAGAATCAACGTAGCATTTACGAGAGCAAAAACAAAGTTGCTAGTAATCGGTAGTCGGGGGACACTCAAGGGAAGCGGGGAAAGAAAAGATGCGGATAAACCCGAGGAAATGGTGAGTCGATTTGTGAAGTTAATGGAGGAAAAGAATTGGATTTATGAATTGAGTGCGGATCAGTTTTTGGGGCATTATTGGGAGACGGTGGGGAGTCAGACTCAGGGTAGTGTGGGGCTGGGCTCGCAGTGGATTAAAGCGGAGAAGAGGAGGAGGGAGGTGGGGGTGGGGTTGGTGGATATTGAAGGGGGTGGTGGGGATGACAAGGAGAATTTGGGGGTTGGTGGGAGGGGAGTAAAGAAGGAGAAAGAGTTTAGGGTTGGGAAAGGTGGTAAACATCAGCCGAAGAGGATTAAAGGGGGGTTGGCGATGAATGATGGGAATGTGAAGTTGGGAAGTGTTTTGATGGATTTGGTTAATGATGGATTGTGATTTGATGATGGTTTTTGGGATTGGAATTGAGGTTGGGATTATGATTATGACTTGGTGTTTTGAGATAAGGACAGGGCCGGAATGGCGTTTATGGATCTTAGCATACCATAGCATAGCGTTGTGGGGTGGGTGTGAAAGGGGGTCACGGTATATATATATTTTTGTATGGTATTATGAGGCATGGTATGTTTAGGGTAGGGAAAGGGTATGCATCACTTGTTGAATGCAGGATGGGTGGGTGGTTGGTGGGTTGTTTAGGGTATCGATCGGTTTTTTACTCGAAGGGAGTAGAGTGAAGTGGAGTAGAGTAGAATAGAGTAAGAGTAGAGAAGAGTGGAAGGAAGGTGGCGAGTTTTTATTCGTTTATACCCATAGCGTATATGAAGAAGCGGTGTGATATTTATCATATGTTGAGATCCCTTGTTTTTGGGAAATCAAATAATGAAAATAAGGATAAGTGCTATTGTATTGTGTGATATGATAGATGTATTGAATACGAAGCGAATGAATCGATTACTTGTTTGGCAGGAAGGGGCTGGGAGAGAGATGGATAGATGGATGGATGGATGGATAGATGGGGGAGGTATGTTGTTCGGAGTGGTGCCGGGGTGTTGTGGGATGGGGGTTGGAGGGGTTAAGGTGTTAAAGGCCCCGGAGGGGTTAGATTAGGAGAGTGGATAGTGGATAGTGGATAGTGGGTTGGGTGATGGGGGATGGGGGATGGTATTGTTCCAAGTTACTAATAATTGTAGGATTGATATGGGTTGACTTTTTGAGATACTGAACAGAGTGGTGGTGAGATAGATGCTGACTACAAAGTAGATGATGCGAAGAAGGGAGGGAGCATATGCATATAAATAATGATTGATATTTGTATACTGAAAAAAGTCCCATAAATTCGTACATCAACTGGTGGGTTTTGTGTCCATTCAGGAAGGTCTTTGAAGTAGGTGAATCCGGTTTAGAATCTTTCAAATTTTCTTTTGGGGGGTGTATATATGTATTGTGTAACATCAACGTAGTTTATATTCATGAGAGAAAGTTCATCTAGTACATCCATCCAATTTCAAATCCTCCTGACCATTCTTCTTGAAGATACCCATCGTTCATCAGAATAACAGTACGAGTACTCATCGCCCTACTCTAATAGTTGGAGGCTATGAAGGCCTGTCAATCCTGTACTTCAGATCTTCTCTTAGGGGGGGAGATAAGCTGTTTCGCCTAAGTCTGTAAATTTGTATGTTAGCTTGAATTGCATTGCTGGAATAACCATGTGAAAGATATGCCCACATACCGGGAATAATTATCTTATCTAGCTCAAGGCATAGCTCTTCAGAGGGCCAGGTAATCTGGGTCCCTTTCTTGGTAGATTCAATACTACACATGTTCCCGATATGTAACGTACCGTAATTACATTTTGGAATCCCCTCCTTTATCGATTTGTTGAGAAAAGTCATAAATGTAACAAAACCATTAAATTCGCCAGCCTCTTCAAGCTGCAGATCGACGAGAAAATCCCATTGTGGGACTTCGACATACTTAGAGTCTGGGGATGCACAATAATGGGTTCTTGGAATTTTGTCCATGTATTTCAATCCAGATTCCCATTTCCATTCCAAATATGGTCTATTTGGATCTTGGAATCTCTTCTCCGAGGTTGCTTCTTTAACAAACTCGATAAATGTCTTCGGGAGTTCGATATAAACCTTATCAGAGTTCGAGATTTGGACTTTTCGATACCGCAAGTGTGTAAAATGGATCATGTCGCCCTCCTCTAGGTATTTCTTGGAGAAGAAAGGCTTTCTGTTGGGCTCTTCTCCGAACGGAGTGCCTTGAAAGCGTACAACGAAATAGTTGTGGTAATTGTAGATATCACATTCGTGAGGAGTCTCGTGGGCATATTGAGGCTCGTTATTTCGAGGGTGTCTGTGGTCGCTTCTGGATGGAGATGAACCCATCTTGTAGCTAGTTTCACTGGAGGGTAGTGTGCTTGGATATTGAGTGATGACTTGGATTGACAGGTTCCGGTCTGTTGACGATGTAGTGAGTTGTATGCGTTATTCCTGTTATGAGTGTTAATAACACATATCTCTAGCAAGATGGAGGATTCTTACTCGTGCGTAGAATGTTTAGTCTCTTGATGAGCGAGCTCTATTTTTTTTGTTTTTGTAGTCCGTCGATTTCGTTAATGGATTGCTGAAGCGGATGTCTCGAAAGGGTTTCAAGTATTCAGAATGTTAGTAGGTTGATGATGTTTTGAGAACGAAGAAGAAAAAATCAAGAGGTGGGATGACTCAAACTTTATGAGTGAAGGATTAGGAGATTGGAAAAATTCATGAGTCAAAGATGACTCCTTACCAAAATAGTCTCAACTCAACTTTGATAATGAATCATTAACGTTCAAGCTCAAGTTTAATGAACCATCAAGTCAATGTATCAATCTCGGCCATTTTTCCGGTTTTTTATACGGATACATACACTAGCAGAGGTACTCCTGAAGCGACGTTCAGTAGTGTTCATATATCCCAGAAAGAATCATGGTCTCTGGGTCATGGTACAAAGCTCGAAATCTTCACAACATTCGGTTTGCTATCTTCGCTCCCAGGACCGTTGAAATTTAGAGTTTGTCGTGTTTATGTCATAATGACCTGAATATGGCCCGGAGGTGAATCAAGCTTATAAACTATCGTCAGGGTGGACTGATCTTTTTGATCACACCCTGCTGATGACTAGAACAATAATGGCTTTGGGGAAAGTAACATAAATGACGGTTTTCGCAATCTAATGATCAAGAACGCGAAACAGAACTTGACCGGAATGAATGCAGACCATTCTTTTCTCAGGGGGTTTCAAAACACTGAGGTGTAAAATCAGTAACACTCTTGAGGAGATTATGGTTGGGATATTATGGTTGAGACCACTGCGAATATCATCCACGAATTGACAGTGGGAGTGCGCGATAATTTAAATGTCACGGTATCCAAAAGTTGTGAAATCCATGTTCCCTAAATTTTCCGAGAATGAGAATCTATAATCTAGCCAAGGTGTTAGGAACGGAAAGAGGACCGGTGGTACGATAAGCCTTATTCATTTGATTTTATTATGTTTGTGGAAGAGTGGAGAGATATAATTTGATAATAGTCTAGGGCTTATCGGGGATAGAAATGCTATGTTTGGGCGAGCGTATATTGTTTGAAATGTACATAATAATATGAACACGAAAAGGACACAAGAAGATGACAGGAGCGAAAGCTTATCTAACGTAGACCTAAATCAAATATTTACATGGAAAATATCGATATATTGAATCACATTTTCTACGAATCATGAAGTTTTCAGGGGGAGTGCACACCAAGACTCAAAGATCACAACATCTCAATCCTCAGAATTGGAAGCAAAGAGTATAAAACATCAACGAAGGCTTGTATTGATAAGAATAATCCAAAAATCCATAACACCAGGATATAACAATCATCCGCTTCCGACCCCCCTTTGAAAACAAAATCTTCGTGAACCACACTACTAATGTTGTCGATAGTGATGGAATCTCCGATCCAGATTACCTCCACTCTCTAGAAACATGGTACGCGAAATCATTTCTGCCTGGTTCTGAGGTTAGTTTTGATTAGGTACTGAAGAACTTGGGATATGGGAGATGATCATACCGGAAGCAGTGTTATTCCTGGTCTAATTTACCTACGGACTAGCCGGTTCTTGCTTGATGGCAGATTTTAGAACCTTGAGCGAGAACTGTGCCATCCCGATCCCGGAGAACCACAGTATTAACATGAACATCAACCTTGACTTTGTTTTCACTTGTAATTTGAACGAGAACAAAGCTGAATGTCCCATCGAAGACACCGACACTTGGAGTATGTGGCCATTCGAGTGTAAGAAATGTTTGAAAATATACATAGCCACCGGGGTCAGAAAGTGGGGAGCTGACCACAAATTCCAGTTGCTTGTTTGGTGGTATTATGCCTTCTCCATTTTCTCGAAACCACTCCTGTACACGTGCTCGAAGATCGTCGACGAATGATTGGGGAAAAGCTACAAATGTGCGAGTATGATAGTCAGCTGTCATGTACTGCTTTGGCGGAAAACGAACGTCTTTAAGGCCGGCTGGTTTGAAGCATTGGGACTCTTGAACAAGACATCATATAACAGAACATTCGTAACTCCACAGGAAGATAGCGATTCTGAGACCGTTGGAGACGTTGGTCTCTTTTTGATATCAAGCGTCCAGTTAGGAAGGTCCTGGTACTGGAGCACCGAGTAAGGAAGAAATCGAGTGTCTCCTCTTGATGCAGCCTGATTTGGTTGCGTCGTGGCTGGTTTGGTAACGGTGATTTTGTCGGACATGGTGGAGTTATCTAACCTTGTGTCAACAGTAAACTTCAACATCAACGACTGTATACCACAGTTCCGGTCATACATACTTTGTTTCGGTACTAGCTAATTCTTAGCTGTATGCTTTTATCGATATGGAAGAAGTGTGTGTTGATGTATTGAGGATGGGTAGTATTGTGTTTGAGAAAGTGTAAGTGTTTGGTATGTACTTGTGTAAATGTTGTAATGTGTGAAGAGAAAGAGAAGAAGGAAAGAAATCGAGCAGAGGCGAGCTTTAAATGCTGAATACTGGGCGACTATTTGCGCAGGGCGTGATTCAAACATTTTACAAAAATAAAATATCTGTCCTATGCAGGGAAAATAGTGACTGGAAATGGTTATTGAATGGGTGACTGGCAATTATACCGAGACCACAATTCGCTTTGATTGCTGAACCGAGTGGGATTCATGAACATTGAAACTTGGTTTGACCAATATGAATGGATAGATCCAGGATTAATACCATATTCCTATCAATTCTCATAATGAATGAAATATAATCTCGAATATTGTGGGATTCATAAGCATTGAAATTTGGTTTGACCAATAAGAATAGGCAGATCTAGGATTCATACCATATCCCTCAATCATCAGTAATGAATGAAATATAATCTCGAATGTTGTGGGATTCATAAACATTGAAATATGTATGATTTGACCAACAAGAATGGATAGATCCAGGATTAATACCTTATCCCATTGATAGATCAATCATCAGTGACAAATGAAATATAATTTCGAATGTCATTGTTCAACTTGAACGATGAAACCGAATCACATTTCACATCCCCATATTTGCTTTAAGCAATAAATCGATGTCACATTAATTCCAAAACTGTACAATATCTCTATTCAAACATATACCGCATCTTTGCGAGTCTGTTTATATTTTGGATGTGTCAGGTAAGGTTTCGTTACATTTTTGCTTTTGTAGAGAGTTATGCTGAAATCACCAATCACATTTCATGTAAGTGAATGATACATCATATGATATCGATCGATAGTGACTCCCACTAGGAGAAATTCCAACTGTGTATTTTGTAATATCCCGGTACCGTCATTCAGCTGGTCTCATGAGAAGTTGAGCACAATGTAAGAAACCAGGTCTAGTGCGTACCAGATAAGCGAACCCCTTTAAATATTTGCCACACTCAGAATAAAAACTTTCGATCATTAATCAACACTACCAAATTTTAAGTTCTCCAAGAAAGAGTAGTTCAAACATCCATTATCCTCTCTACATCACCAATTCTAAGAATCCAGTCCCTTGCACCCAATATGAATAAGTCGGGCTCGAACCGGAACAATCGTCATCTCTACCGCGACCCCAATTTCTGCTTCCGCATCCTCATCCTCATCATCGTCTTCATATTCCTCTCCACCCTCCGCTTTTGCAATTTCAGGCTCAAACTCAGAGGAGGTGAGCATTGGCGGAGTGATGGTATTGGTATTGGTGACGGTCTCCGTGCCGGTGATTGGTAAAATGGGGCTAATGGTGACGAATCCTGCAGGTATAACTGTTAGGAATTATCTTTTTATGATTCAAAAACGAGATGAAAGATCAAGTTGAAAAGAGCAAGAGTCGAGATGAAAGAAGAAAAGAAAAAGAAAACATACCACCTGCTACCAGCGAATGCCGGCGAACTCTTTCCATTCCACGATTTAAACTTCCCAGTACCCCTGGGAGGGCAATAGAGTCTCTTCTGCGCGGCAAAAGGCGGCGAAGTACCCCAGTTGAAGGCTTGGGAGGAGATGGGAGAGGTTTCTCGGACGAGGATATTTGAGGAGGAGTAGGGGGAAAGGTGGTCGAGGGAGAAGATTGTTTGCTCTTCCTTTGGTTCGGTTAGAATTTCAATTCAATTGGTAGGATAAATGATAGAACTTACGGGCTCTTTTTCTCAAAGCGAGACGTCAATACTTTTGATGGCATTTTTTTGGTGGCTGGTGCCTCTGACTTCGTGTCTCAAGTTTGGTTGATCTTGGTCAGATCAACAGTTGACTGGAGAAGAAAAGAAGAACAATAAATTCTCTGAAAGGACAAAATATGGTTAGTGATGCCGCCAAGTCGAGAGAAGAATAGTGAATTGAAAAGGAAATTGACAGCCGAAATTAAAAAATGGCAGCAAAATTTATTGGATGGGACCATAGCCGATGGACTTGAACATTAATTATACATACCTTTCCTTCCCCAGTCAACAGTCAATCTAACCAAAATCAACAAACTCGAGAACACGAAGCCAAGCACCACCGAGGGATTTCCCCAGAATCCTTAAATTACTGAACAAGAAATCAAGTGGCGGTATCTGTCTTTCCATTTTCGATGTTGGTAGCTCTTATATGGAAATCTGCGAGATGTTAGTCGGTGGAATAAGAAGTGAATACGCTCATGATAAGTATTAATGAATCACACTTACTCACAATTACGATTTCAGGAAACCCAAATAAACAATTTCAAAACACCTTGATGGTATTCAGGGCGGGGCATATCGAAACTGGCTAAATTTCACCATCGAACGAGGGTCAATCTCCGCAACCTCAAGAGTAGGTTTCCTAAGAAAGTATCCTTCATTTGCCTCTGTCTTTGTCTTGCGCCCAGGCAGACACTGGGTATACTCCCAATCTAGCTCATCATTGGAATCTACTTTACCGACTTCAGTAGCCAAAAGGGAGCTTGAGGTCTTATGTATTCGTTAACGAGTGTAAAAAATAGTTAAAAGAGTGTACATACCCAATGGCCAAAATCGGACAAGTCCCATTATTGTGTGTAATCAACGATTGTGAGTCCTTCGGACCAATCCTAGTGTATTGCTATATTCTTGTTATTATCTGCGCTTGTGTATTGTTGCTTTGATTTTACTTACCTGAGCTGAAAAAGCTCCAATTGACCAAAGGAGATAATTGCTTTTGAAAATGGAGCAGGTACAGAACCAAGTTGGCTCACATGTTCCGCTTTGAGGCAGCAAGGAAGCGATGTATAATCTATCATTGAAGGTCCAGCACCAGCAGCAAGGGCTTTGAGATCTAACATCATTGTCTTCTGGAGAAGAATGAGATGGCTCTTGCTCAGCCAATGTTGCCAAAGCATTCAGGTCTTTTGTTGGGCTGGAACCCATGATGTTTTTATTTTTTGCGTCGCGCGAGGAAATTGGCAGTTGGAATACGAAATCGGAAGATGGCTGATCTGACTCGAGATCTTTATCACTGCTCTCAATAATCAACCATGGTGGAGCAAGGCGTCTGATAAGCATTGCATCACTGGGTGATCCAGGGCGACCATCGGGTTCCTTGATCTATTCCATGAAAGTCAATCATTGAAGGTCTTGGAGCAGGAGAAACAACTTGGATCCTCATATGTTCATCTTTGAAGCAGCAGAAAGGTGACGTAGAGTCATCCATCGAATTTCCTTGTTCTCATGAGAAAAACGCGATGACTCTTCCTCGGCCAAAGTTGTCGAAGTATTTGAGGTTCGGAAATGCTCAACAATAACGGAGCAAGGAAATTGCCAGTGGTAATCATCCTTGTTGGTTCTTAGGCCACTTGCGTAAAAAGAGTGTTGATTATCTGCAAACTGAGCTGCAGACACCTCCTTGCTGTACTGACTCCTCGAAAGCTGTTGATAGTAAACATTGATCTGCCGCGAAGTCTGTAAGACCAAGCAATTACTTGATTCATGTTGGGAGTATCAGATATCGAGTTGGGAAACACTGGGCTTCCGGCAGCATCAACTTATGTTTTTGAAGATCGATTGATCTTCCTACCTTTCTCAATTACTTCTTGAAATTTGCTGGCACGATCATTCCCAAAGCGCTCACAAGCCTTCTTAATACTGATGTTGCGACCGTCGGACCTATACACATTTTAATAAGCTTATGTTCAAGAATACACAGCTGTATCTGGGAGTTTAAATCTTACAAAATCAACTAGGTTAAAGTTGCGCACTCTGTTTCCAGCAAGACCATGTAATCCCATTGAGTCATTACTAGAAATAATTCTTTTATTGAAGGCCTTTTTGATGTCGACCTCTGGAAAGAACTCAAAGCCGTTGTCTTGTCCAAAGTCACCACGGGTATGTATACAAACATTTGATTCCTTCGTTCGGTTGCGAAAATTCGTGTTCATGGCTGCGATCAGTGTCACGGTCTTTTGCAACGGCGAGAATACCGTCAGGATTTGTAAGTTTGTGGGTGACAGGTGGTGACTCAACCATTCGTTCGTCGTTGTGTATTTGAAGAGGTGTAGATCTCATTCAAGAATGCTGTGTATCGAAGGTTGGTAAATTATCAAGTGATGCTATTAGAAGGAGTCTCACCTCAGAAAACAAACGTGGTTGATATATTTGATGACATCATGAAGATCCATCCACATGCCAATATCATCGAAGCCAGCACAAAACACAGCAGACATTGAATATCTATCGATAGATAGTGCTCGCTGAGACTCTGATTTAGTATGCCTCGACCTTAGCAGCAACAAGTTCGATCTTCATAATTCTTCCGATCCACCAGAAGCTTCATCTGTGTGCCAAGTAAGGTAGACTAAGTGATAAAATTTAGCCAATTACCAAGTGATAGTTTAGGAAGAGGTGTGCTCACCCAAAAACAAAACTTTAAATGAAGGTGATATTCGAACATTGTATTCCATGTGTTGGTAGATGACTGATAGATGAATGTTAGTTCAGCATCAGGTGGTTGTGTGGGAGGGGTATTTACTTGATCGTTGATAACTGAAACAATTCTTTTGGTAACCTCTAAAGAGATCAAGAAATCGACAGATAATTGTATGATGCGAGGAAACTGATAAAAATACGACGTTAGCAATTTACTCAAGTAACCACTACTCGCATACTTCTGCAAAAGACTAGCACACTCCAAACCTCAAGATCGCATCTCTCCCCTCTTAGAAAACCCGAGCACCCCACACTCACACCTCACATCTCGAATTCCTCCAAATACCAAGTACCAGTATAAAAAAAACTTATTCTTTGACTTAAACATACATACCCATTAAAAACAATCCAACCAAACAATACAAAAGATTCATAGTCTTGTGTTATGTGTAGTATACAAAACAAACACCTTACCTTCACAAAGTAGTACTATCTGTATACCCATATCCGGCGGCCGCCGGAAAAGTAAGAAGAAGGATGGAAAAGTGAAGAAGGGGTATTGTGAAATTCTGTGAATCTTAATTTTAGACACTAACACCAAAGAGAAAATTTTCACTACTGGCTAGGGCAAGGGCAAGCACAAGGGCAAGTTCATGTGACAATGAAAATGGCCTGATTTCTCGGCAGTGAAAGTTGAGATTGTGCCGTAAAGGTTCTCGGAGCACAGTAGTTCTTGGCTTCGGCTACTAACCTTACTGTACAGTATCAGTATCATATTGAGTTACAGATTAAGATTGTAAAACTTTTGCTAGAGAATCACGTTTGTCAAAATTCAAATACTATAGGTACTCGAGTAACAAAGTATATACTAAAGTTCTATTTTTTGCGCTCATGATAACCTTAATGCATTCGCGACCTCGATCCACTCACTGGATTCACTATCAATCAAACCCTATCAAGCCCTACCATACATAACTCTTAACTCTCTTAAAAGTCAAAACCAGGCCCTTCCTATACCTCACGAGTCACTACTCACTACCCACTACTCACTATTATAAAACGGGACTTATTAGTTATAACCTTAATTACTGCGCCATGCTAGCTAGCTAGCTACCTATCAAAATCCACAGTATCTCTATATAGGTATCCGTACCTTCCTCCCTATAAAAAAGCCAACCCTTTATCCCTCCTCTCCTCTATCCTCTATAACAAGCCCCTCGCCCCCCCCTCCCCCTCCCCTTTAAATATCGAAGACGCACCAATTAGGCTTCAGGCGTTAGCTTCGGGATTAGATTTCAAATCTATTAACACTACAAACAGATACATACTTGATTTCCTCAAGATCAAGATTGACGTGAGTTTGCTGTACTACTGTACTTTACTATAGCTAGCGATGATGATAAAATATTGATATTGATGTTGATATTGATAAAAGACAGTTATAGAGATAGAGATAAATATGACTATCAATAATAACAGTAACAGTAACAGTAAGAGTAAGAGGGGCAGCTCTATTTCACTCATTTCTTTTTTCATCGCAATTAATTTTTACTAATAGTGACAGTGACAGCGATAATATACATTTCCACCCAACACCCAGCTCCCAACTCTCAACTCTCAACTCCCAGTTTCCAATTCCCAATTCCCATCTCCCTTCTCCCTCCCCTCTTCATCCTCTCCCCTCCTTCCCCCTATTATCCCTTCCCCCTCTATCCTCCAGCCTCTCCCCCCTTTCCACTACATTCTCCATCCTTCTACCTCCATTCTCCCTCCAAAACACACAAACTCCATTACCCACTCCATCACCCCCTCCATCCTCCCTCCAAACCTCCTCCCTCCTCCCTCCAGAACCCACTCCATCATCCTCTTCAAACTCCATCACCCCCTTCAAACATCAAACATCAAACCCCTTCCCTCCACCTCCCCCCCCCCCCAAAGATGCCCAATCCAAATCAAATCAAATCAACAAAAGACAACCCCCTTCCCTTTCCCCTCCCCTCTTCCCCTCCTCCCCTCCACAATCATACTCATACTCATCCTCCCCTCTCCCTCCCATCCTCCCCTCCATACCCACACTCATACTCACACTCACACTCACACTCAAACTTATAATTTTTAACATAAATTGCTCTGAGCCAAGGACATAATACCAATAATCTCTAACATAAATTACTCGGAGCCAACTAACACCAACTAACACCATGAAATCGACTCAGTACTCAGTAATCACCACCCTAATTTCCATCCATACCCACTTGTATGAATTCCCGAGCGATAGCGATATATTTCTCTATACCCACCCGCCTGCTGCTCATTCCCCTTTCCCCTCTCTTACCCCTTGATATCTACTCGTACCGGTATATATATTTCTCTGAGTTGTGTACCACATTTTCATTAATCGAGAATGGTAATAGCAATAATCCTGTACAGGATACAGGATATGTGATCTCGAGCTGAACCGAAAAGTTTACGAAGAAAGGTACCATCGAATTTCATGAATAAAATAGTAGATAAATCATTTCTACATACCGGTCGGTATACCTATTCCCCACACCATATCCTCTCCCCTCCCATCCCCACCATCCACAACCCCCCTCCCTCAATAAACCAACGCACTAACCACCTTCCCCCTACACTCACCAAACCCAACCTTCCCACCCTCCTCTTCCCCACAACTGCCCCTCAAAGTAACCTCATCCCCATCCTTCAAGAACCTCCTCGTCTCCATCCCCACCAACCAAATATCCTTACTACCACCCCACGACATCTCCAACAAACTACCCATTTCCTGATCGTCCTTCCCCGTAATCGTTCCACTACCCAATAGATCCCCCGTTCTCATATTACACCCCCCACTACTATGATGCGCGAGCATTTGCTCAAAACTCCATATTAGATTCTTGGCATTGACTTTTCCGATCGTAGTTGTGCTTCCATCTGTAGTTGTCAGGTCGATTTCGAGATTGATATTTAGACCCGTATCATTATTTTCTTCTTTGAGATAATCCAACAACTCCCCTGATTTTGAAATCTCGGTTTCCAATTTGGCAGTTCGGAAAGGCGCAATGGCATCTTGTAGAACAACCCAAGGACTAATGCTCGTAGCGAAATTCTTTCCATTACAGGGACCTAGTGGGACGTACTCCCAATTTTGAATATCTCTTGCGGACCAATCGTTCATGAGGACATATCCAAAGATGTTCTCTCCGGCTTCCTTAACTTTAATAGGTTGTCCGAGTTCATTTCCTGTACATAGGAAACAACCAAGTTCCAACTCAATATCGAGTCGTCTAGAAGGTCCAAATATAGGTTTCTTCGGACCAGGAGCTTTAGGATCAAGTATTATCTGACCATTTGGACGTATGACTTGCGTTCCGGACACGACGACCGAAGAAGCTCGACCATGATACCCAATAGGAACATGTGTATAATTTGGTTGAAGTGCATTTTCTGGTCCCTTCAAACATATGTTAGAACGTTACACAAGTCATTGGGCGAATATACCAGAGCCAAACTCACTCTAAACATAGTCCCCGCATTCCTAGCATGATTGATTCCCGCGAAGAAGTCCGTATAATCACCAATTCTCATTGGCAGATGATTTTTCCACTCTCCTTCCTTCAGCAGACATTCCTTTTGCACTTCTTCATTATCCTTTAATAACTCCGGGTATTGTGTATCCTCCTTGAAGACCTCTTGTATATATTTCCTAACTTCCCGATGAACGGGTTGACCTAATGCTGCGAATGCATTGAGATTTGGTTCTTCGAAGACCGAGAGATGATTACTGAAGGACGGGAGTTTTTGGAAACCGGATGATTTGGAAAAGGCGAGGAGATCAAGGACATGGTCGCCAATGCGAATAGCTGGGCGGTGTGTAACTTGGGAATTGCGGGAGGTAATGATACCGAAGGGAATATTGAGGATGGAGAAATCGCTGTTAGGTGATATTCGGAGCCAAGACTTAAGAGGAGGCATTTTGGTAGTAGATTGTGATGAGACCGTGTATGAAGAACTTGTATGAGGAACTTGTTAGGAGATTAGAGTCAAGGTCATCCGATGAAATCAGAAAAGCAGCTTTAGGTATACCGTTACTCGTAACGACACAACACATACAATAACCAACCCTTTACTCGAGTAATTCCAAAGAATATCAATCTTACCCAGACAGATCCAGTATGTATAGTTAACCCACAAACCAACCGATGATTGATAGATATCAAGCTCAAGCTTCAGCTCCAGCTCCCGCTATTCACAATTTCAGATAGAGGGGTCGTGCCGAGCCTTCCCAATCCCAATCCCATCCCAATCCTAAAGTGGGGTAACCCAACCCTTCGCGGAACGAACCTTTCTATAGTGGAGTCATCCAAACTTAAGGAAACACAACAGAAATCCGTAGCTCTATCATCCCTGCCGCACCTAAGACACAATAACTACTAAGGTTAACCCACGGCATTAATTCCGTCCTCCTACCCCTCCCACCCTCTCAATGCTCTCATATAATTTTTCCCAGTTCCGCTATAATACATACAGTACAACGATAACAACAATGCGGTGGTTGTGATGTATCACATTCAATGATTCAAATATATCTATATTCATCCAGTATTAATATGATGTTGAATTTACTGTACCTACTAGGCTACTACTCAGTACTAGTCGACTTTTAAGATCTTGGTCTTAGCCGTTGACTACCTAGGTACCTACCATTCAAATGCCGACCCACGGCCAATCTTCGCTTCTCCTGTGTAGGTATGATCTGGCAAGATATATCGTGTCTGGGGATTGTGTGGATAATTATAAATACAGATGCACAGCAAAACTGCAACTTGCCCTATGATATGTATCTTCTTCCTGAATATTTCTACTCGAGTAGGCAGGCCACTTGATATTAAAATGTACAAATATATTCTATCCATATCATTGCAGACTTATCCACTCCCTAATTCCTAAAACAAATCTCTACACTGCCTAAATAATTCATCCCCCTCTCCAAATACAGCAACTGAACCAACACCCACACCATCTCCTCCCACTCCCGGTGTTCCATCAATCCCATTACCAACGCCATACCCACCATGACCACTGCCCATACCTAACGCTGCCTCAAATAAATTCGTCATTTCATAACTCATTTGATTTCCAGTCATCTGACTACTGTCCGTTCCTATACCCATTCCGTGTACACCTCCATGTCCATTTGTATCGAATCCTCCTCCCAACCCCGTAATCTCATGACCTGCCAATCCAGCCATAGCAAGTGCAGCGCTACTATGTGCATCATCCGCTCCTAATGTATTGTTGAGATGGTCATTTGGTGTAGGCGATAGTCCAAGTTTTGGCGCTACTTCTTTTAAACCTTTGATTGTCCTCCAAAGACGTTTCGAAACGAAGGATTTATTGGAGAAACCCTTGACGAGATCGAGTGCCATGTAAAATTCGTCCCGACAAAATGAACTGAAAGTCACAGGAGCATGACAACTTGCGAGAAATATGACTGCCAGGGCAGATATTAGAAAGTAATTGAAACAAACTTGTTGTACGCGATAAATATCAGAGGTTTGGTTGAGATGTGTGAGAACTCGAATTGTATCTTTTGCAAGTTCGACGACCGTAGTCGCGTGCGAGGGATCCTCTTGTATAGAAGACGCCGAATGTAGTACAGGGCGGTAAATAAGGATACGCATTTGATTAGCACGAAGGTAGAGAAGTATTTGTAGTCGATGAACGGCGCGAGAGGTAGTTGGTGGTACAGAACCATTTGGAAGCTGCAGTTGAGGTGGTATCGCTTTCTGCCATTCAACAATTTGATAATTTAAGTAGTTCAACTCTGCAGCATCTATTGTCGTCGTCGATGTCGAGGTGGAGGTGAAGGAACAAATTGAGCGCCAAACTCTAGAACCGATTGTTGAGTATGCTATCATAACATGTAGATACGGGACGGTGTTATCCTGCTGGAAAAGTCAGCAAAGCTTCATGTGAATGTAGAAGGTTACATACTGGTTTGGGTAAAGTAGGATCGATATCTGTATCTTGTAAAGCAAAAGGCATGCCTGTACCGAAACTCCATCTCCGATCGAGTACGTAGATTGACCAAAAAAGTTTGGTGACAGCTATCCGTTCTGGTTCATCAACCACAACTTTAAATAAAGAATCACGTCTATGAAGACCTAATTCAATTGACATTCGCGCAACTTGACCAATTATGCGCCAAGCCAGTGCTTCTTTGTCGCAATGGAAATGATATATTGCCTGTGAATTGTGTCAGTCTGTAGATGAAGGCGATTTTCACGTAAATGAAAGCGGCAGAAAAAATCTCAGAAAAGAGAAACAACGAAAGGTTTGAACATGGAGAAAAGGGTCTGCATGATTTGCGGAAATTATAAGTAGACGATAACATGACATAAGAGAGAGTAAATTGGTGGTAATGATATCACAAACACCACAACAATTCAGGTAGGCCAGTGCCTTTTCTATCTTCTGATTGTGTCAGTTGTTTGCGATTCCTGTCCTCGATCGGTGAGGCATGAGCTTCGCAATGATTTGTGCCCGCAAGCATAAGATCCACAGTCGAAAGTTCTATCGAGTTATCGACATAGAAGAGACTGAATAAGTAACCCCAGTCAAATTAAAACAGACAGGGCGTCTAGTGTAGTTGGTAAACACGCTGTGTGACTTTCAAGTAAAGTTTTATTCCAGAGAGGCGGGATCGAAACCCGCGGCGTCCAAAACATATTTTTTTTGATCTTCTTTCATTTTTGCCTCTGCCATCTCTGCGAGGTTATTCCTAATTCGAGACTTTTATCCGGTTGTGACTCCTCGAGTACCCGAATAGATGGTACTGCCACCGACTGAGGTTTATTTTGTGGTTCTTCGCTTATCCTTGATCATGAGGAAATGTAAACATGATAGTCCAGGCCCACACTCCACGGCTCCATGTAGACACTGATGAGGCTGATAACTACATAATGAGCGGCTTAGTGCAACAACATATCAGATAGGTTTTTGTACTTTGATGGTAGAACGCGAAACCCCAATATACATTGGTGGAGGAAGTGGAGGTTCGAATCCTTCCGAGGTCAATTTTTTATTTTTGACGTTTTTTTCCGTGAAAGATTATCAAGTATCTGTGGTTTGCTTCCTCTTCGCAAATTCCCCGATTCAGCAAGATGTCTTTTTTGCGGTCCTCAATCCCATCTAGCCAATGAATATCATTATTGTATAACTTGGAAACACATTTATAATGTAGTAAGTGTTTCGATGCAACAATAAATCAGTAGGCTTTGTCGTTTAATGGTAGAATAGTAGAAAAAGGGTTCCCTCAGTTTCTACCTATCGAGTTCGATTCTCGACGAAGCCAATTTACTTTTTGACATTTTACACCCTCGACCACATTTTTGCTGCGGCCTTCTTCTCCATCCATAGATTCTTTTCTCTCAAGCCACTGAATGTAAAGTTGAAGGGATCCACCTTCTCACCCCCGTATGCTCGATGCGGGTCCCGGTTGCTTGACAACAACTTCATAAGATGAAGTTTGTTTCTCACCAACCCAACATGGTAAGGGTAACTCATGATCCTCACAACAACTCTTATCAAACTTAAGAGTCCGGACACACTTGCTTTAAACTTAACTCACTAGAGTTTGTGACTTCTTTGATCTTCCACAACCTTTAAACAAATGCAAGATGCCAAAAACAATAACATCAACCAAGAGAATTCTTTCAACTCACCACAAGTACCAAGAAAGGCAGAGTTCTGACCTCCACAATTTCATTATGCAAAGCATGATCAGCAGACTCTTTCACGCTCTCAAATAATCGGAAGGCCATATCACTCTGCCCACTGCCTTCCATAATCATTGAGATAGCCATGACCGTTTTCAACATACAACAATTGATATTATCAATTCCTTGATTGATGTTCGAGCTGGCAAGGCCACTCCTCACTGCAGCATCAATGGAATCAAAAAGCGTGATTCCATGATGAATTAGTTTCTCTATATCCAAGACAGGATACATCAGACCCATTTCTTCTTCATATACCCTACAAAGTCGAACCATTTCTTCTCGGGATACACTTCTCAATGGATCTGGAGCTCGAATGCCATTCGTACTTATGGATGGTAATACCCTGGGTCGTATAGATGGTGGTGATGCTACCGGTGTAGGATCTTGAGAAAAAATCCCTTGATCTGTCATTTCCTGATATCCCATATTATGAAGTGTGTTCTTTGCCACATCTAATCCGAAAGCTGAGCTGGTCGGTCCACGAAATGAAGGATGTCGTGATATAGGTTCATATCTAGGAGAGTTTGCCTGTGGTCCGGAATGTTGTGAGATTGACAGTGATCTTTCTGATGATTGCCCAAAAGGTGTGCTGCCATCACCACCTCCACCTCCATCGCCACCTGCGCGCATCGCATTTAGATTCGCATATAGATTCTCCACTTGTCCGTGTAGTGCGGCAAGCTGTGAGTTCATCTGGCGAAACTCTTCCGATTCTTTGAAGCCATTGGTACAACAATTCGGAGCATACTGACAGTCGAGATTGAGATTTCCGCATCGCTGACATGGTGTATTTCCATTACATTTGATCTTTCTTCGTTTGCATTCATTACTATAATTAAGATATCAGTATCAATGGAGGTTCATCCTTCAATTGAGGGTGCAAGAATGTCTGCAGAAAAGTAAGAGTGCGCCCCATGGTTTCCAGCTGGTGGATAACCACCGAACCACCCGAGAAGTAATCAAACTACATCTCCAAAAGCACCAACATAGAGACACACAAAGAGAACAATAAAAGGATCCAAATATCACTTACCAGGCGATAGATATATATCTATTTCTCTTTGCTCTCGTGTGTGGAGCCCCTTCTCTATCCTTTGAGTTTCCATTTGTTGTTGATTCTCCTTCACCCGACATACTTTTTCTCTTGTTTCCGCTCTGAGCCCCGGTATCTGCGGGTGATTCCGAAGACTGTTGACCATTGATATTATCGAAACCTGGTACCTCCATAGGTGATTCAGCCAAGTAATTTAAATCGGTAACTTGTGATTCAAGTATATTCATTATCACATTGAAAGGAGAAGACTTGGTTGTCTTTGGGCATTCGATCGAAGTAGTTTAGATTAATTGGTGACGTTTTTCGAGAGTTGTTGACTCGTTTTCATTTCTAGCAAATGAGCGGTTTGTGATCTCGATTTGTTTAATCTGTGCGGGGAAAGCATAAACCAAACAAGGATCATTTGGTAAGGGGTTGGTAAGGGGGAGATTCCCGTGATATGGAGTAGAATTTTCCAGTTTGGAGTCAAAGGATTGATGAAAATCCATCTCAAATGATATAGAGTAAAGGTTGATTGACATAGACATCAATTTTGCATTCAAATTCACAATCATTCCCTCTCTGTACCCAAAGAGAGCTTGATCAAAGCTACGGTAGATACCGTTTAGCTTGAACAAAGCAAACAAAAGACCTAGTAGTACTAGCTCTGAGCTACTACTCCGAAATATGGAGAATTCCCCAAGTCACTATAACGAATAGACATATCTAATTTCAATACTTCAACACATTTACAGATCATATCAAGTGACTACCGGCACTGCTAGCATTCAACCTAATACGGGAACATCCCATCCCAGCCAATCTTATAAATGCAAGAGCCTCCTTCTTATCTTCGAGAGACCTGAAGGACCGACCCTCGCTGCGCAAGATTGCATCCCAGCAGTAAACTCTAAGTCTCTAACAACCAGTACCGACCTATATAACAATATCCATCAATTCCATTTCATAATATCCCATACTTATACCAATGCCATATCAATCACTTCCCAACCACTTCCTAAGCTAGCTAGCTAGTCAGTCATCACTGGCATTCATTAGCTCCCTTACCTCCCGTCATTAGAATAAACACCCATCCATAATCCCAATTTCCAAAAACGATATTATCACATTTACAACTACCTCACACATCTCAAAAATATCAAAAATACCGGTAGATATCTACCAGTATACGACCGGATGAATTTTATAAAGGTTTTCCATTGTTTTAGAAGATCGCTGTTATGATGCAATAAATACCTAGCTTATCTTATGCAACATAACCAACTATACTGTACCGCTTTCCATACCCTTTTAATTCGTAAGTCATCATGTAGGAGCTATCAAAATATCTTTGCGCAAGTCTTCATCTTCTCCCTCCTCCCATAAACAACCACCTATCCATCCATCGCTCATCATCCATACATATCTACACCCCTCCACTCCCCCACAACCTCATCAAAGCAATCCCCTCGTCCTCTCCTCCGCCTCCGCCATCCACCCTTCCAACCTCTCCAGATCCCTAACCCTAAACCCCACCTTGAACGGATACGGATCGGTCGTCAAACTCGTCTTCACCGCATTACACTCCAACGCATCCAGAATCGGTAAATCCTTGCTATCCTTCGGCGCCACAATCTGAAACGCCGTGAATATCCTAATAAACGCCGTGAACAGTTCTCGGTTTGCTAGATGTGAGCCTGCGCACATGCGGGAACCGGCGCCGTAGGCATAGTGTGGGGTACCGCCTCCTTCGGGGTTGTCGAGGTAGCGTTCGATGGAGAATTCATTGGGTTGTTTGAAGTGCGTGGGGTCGTAGTCGGCGGCCCATGCGTTCTGGTGCGGGGTTAGTTGTTGATGTTTGGAGATAGGATGTGAGAAAGGATATGAAAAGAGCTTACCATGTAGAAAGTTGTGCCCGCTGGAACAGTGGCACCATTGTACTCAATATCTTTGATACTTGTTCTGGGTAGACAGATAGGAATGACGGTGAAGAACCGAAGAACTTCTCGGACGAAAGCGGTAACATATGGGACTTTTTCTTCAAGTAGACATCTCTCCCATGCATCTCCGTCGGGGTATACTTTCATGATTTCCTCATATGCTCGCTTTTGAATTTCTTGACCATGTTCGGAGGAAAGGTATGCAATTCCCATGATCAAATTTCCGGGAACTGTATCGAGACCAGCAGAAACCATAGTCACACAGATAGATTTGAGTTCATCTGGTATCATTAGTATGTCACTTTCGTGAGGTATCTTGGAGACTTACTTTCGTTCAATTTTGCATCTGGATCCTTGATGATATTTCCAGTAATGCAAGGGTTGTCTGTACCATCGGCGATTTGTTTCTTGAGTCTGCCCAAAAGAATATTCAAATACTTGTCCCGTCTTTCTCTAGACTCAATAGCTTCTGTGTTTGACTTGGGTAACAATCTCAACAATGGGATATAATCCTGCCAGTTATTGCTTGTAGATCTGAAATTGCTAACAGCTCTTTCCACATCACAAATCTCCTGCAACAAATCCTTATCCTTAACTTCATCAAGTCTCGATCCATAGTTCAATGTCAAAGATGTATTGAGGGCGAACTTTTGAAAGTAAGAGATAGGATCGATATCAACTTGTCCATTCTTACTATCATTGAGTAATTGTCTAATAGAAACCTTGGACTCAAGATCGATGATAGGCATATAAGATTGAGTAGCCGGTCGATTCAAAGCAGTAGCTGCAGCCTTTCTTCTCTGCTTACAAGATTCATCCCATGGAGATGTACCAATAGTGAAACCTTGAGAGGTAGAAACCACACTATGAAATGTATGAAGGGTAGGACGTGAGATCAAGGCCGCTTGATTGGTGATCCAAAAATGACGAACGGAATCAAAGGAATTGACGAAGATAATTCGCTATTTAAAATTAATATGACATCTCCGCTGAAGAAGTAATATATCATACCTTATTTCCCAATCGTACTTGAAAAACCGCTCCATACTTTTCGGCCAATTTTCTTGCTACTATTGCATGACTGACACCAAATTCTAAGAGACTTCCAAATAGAGGATATCCAGGTATTTCAGGTATACCCTTAATCTTTGGTGTATCTGTACGATTCAGATATCGTATAACAAAAAAGACGGCGGCGATAATCGCAATGCCTATTGTTTGAAGAGACATTGTAACAGGTTGATGTCGATGCTGATGAGAAGGAGAATGAGAAGGAGAAGGAGAATGAGTGAAGTGAGAAGGTCAGTGTAGAATCTGTAGATGGAGATGAAGGAGAGAGAATGAGTGTAGTAAGAAGGCCAATGTAGAATCTGTAGATTGAGATGGAGGGAGGTTGAAGGATAACTAGTCGATAGATATATAACTACTCGAGTAGTTCCCCAAAGTAATACGTCTCTTTTGATCTCACCCGTGATTCACTTTTCTCCAATTCTGCAAGTAATATCCAAGGAGTCTTGAATACATCTTCACTATTCAGTTACAAAAGCTAATGATATGATAGGTCAAGAGTAACAATTTTTGAAGCAAGGTGTAAGGACAGGACCCGAACAACAATCAATACTGTAAGCCCCCAGATTTTCTACATTCCGCGCGGGTTCTCTTCCGTGTCTTGCTGTCGTGTACCAAGTATTGAATCTGAGAGATGAAACTAAAATAAGAAAAGGAGAACAAGCTTTGATGTTTGAACAAAACATCCAAATTAAATTAAAGATTGTGTGGAGAAGATCGTCATACAGTAGCTTTTAAATTATCTTTAACAACTTTTAAGGTTATCTTGCATTTTCGTGTTATCTGTGAAAGCGGAATGAATTCCGTCATTGAATATGATGGAATCCTCGACTAGAATTTGGTTATTGGTATTCATCCCGCATGCGGAAATGATGATTGGGTGACTCTATGGGTATCACTCCGATTTGTCATTATCCGGTCGGTTGTACGCGGGGGAGCTGAGAGGTATGGGTATGGGGGTATGGGGTACGGGTAAGAAAGTGTCATTGTTGTAGCGGAAGATCACTTTTGAGGGTTTGTACAATTGATACATATTCATTTATCCTATCTTCTCATTCTCATTCTCATCTACCTAAGTCAAACATTCATTCCTTTACAATAATAATACCACCATCATTCAACATGCCCGTCACAAAGTTCCATACATCGGAGAAGTACAAATATCAAAATGGTTTCGCTTCATATCATGAGTAAGCTTACTCTCATCCTACCTCTTCCATTTACCCATCTGACATATTCGCAGATCTGAAGCCATCGCAGGTGCCCTTCCTATAGGTGCCAATTCTCCTCAGAAACCCCCTTGTGGTCTTTACGCAGAGAAGCTGTCCGGCACAGCATTCACAGCACCACGACACGAGAATCAACAAACATGGCTGTATCGCATCCTTCCCGCCGCATCACATGAACCTTTTATTCCTCGCGAAGCTTCATCCTATAACACCAACCCGGAAGGAAATAAATTACATCAAATACCAAATCAGTTGAGATGGGATCCTTTTGACCTTGATGAGACGGTGGATTGGGTACACAGTTTGAAGTTGGTAGCTGGAGCTGGTGATCCCACGTTGAAGCACGGAATTGGAATATTTATATTTGCAGCTGGCAAGAGCATGGCCACAAACGAAGCATTCTATAGTGCGGATGGAGATTTCCTGATTGTGGCTCAACATGGAGTATTGGATATCCAGACTGAGCTCGGAAATCTTCTCGTCCGACCAAATGAGATATGTGTTATTCCACGAGGAATCCGATATCGAGTGGAACTTCCAGAGGGTCCGGTACGAGGATATATCTTGGAATTATACTCGGGACACTTTCAGCTTCCGGAATTGGGACCCATTGGTTCGAATTGTTTGGCCAATGCGCGGGATTTCCAAGCACCGGTTGCGAATTTTGAACACAATACCGATGGCCAATTTAAAATTCTGTCGAAATTTAATGGACATCTTTTTGAAGCTAGTCAAACACATACACCATTCGACGTCGTAGCTTGGCATGGACTTTACTACCCATACAAATACGATCTTGGACGATTCAACACCATCGGAAGTATATCATTTGACCACCCCGACCCCAGTATCTTCACCGTTCTCACCGCACCCTCCGACCACATCGGCACCGCCATTGCCGATTTCGTGATATTTCCTCCACGCTGGCTCGTTGGCGAAGATACATTCCGACCACCCTGGTATCACCGCAACACCATGTCCGAATTCATGGGTCTTATCGGCGGGGAATACGACGCGAAAACTGGAGGGGGTTTCCAGGCTGCTGGAGCCAGTCTCCATAATATTATGTCGGCTCATGGTCCTGATGCGGGTACGCATGTTAAGGCATCGAATGCAGAATTGAAACCGGTGAAAGTTGGAGAGGGGAGTATGGCGTTTATGTTTGAGAGTTGTTTGATGGTGGGGGTTACGGAGTGGGGTTTAAGGCAGTGTAGGAAGGTTCAGGAAAATTATAATGAGGAGAGTTGGACGCCTTTGCAGGCGAGTTTTAAGATTCCGGAGGGGGTGAGGAGGATTAGTCATTTGATTGAGGGGGAAATTTGAGATTGAGGGGGAGATTGATATTGGGAGAAGTGTTGGGGGTGGGGGTGAGGGTGCGAAGGGGCAAATTAATAAAGAGGCGCTGCCGCATTATGGTTGAGGTATGGGTATTGGGGTATGTTGGTGTGTGGTGGTTCTGCAAGGGTGGTTTTACGAGTTCATGGGCTATTTCTTTTTATGCCTTAATAATACCAATTATCGATACCATTGTTATATTCATGACGCTATTTGAACATATACAGTCTACCTAGAGGTACATGGTAGAGATTGTGAAGATTGCGTGACACTAACTATATCATCATATGCTGGTACATATACGAGTAAAAGAAGGTGATTTGATCTTCGATAGGTTCTCGGTATTAATATTAATAGTGTTTGGTGTTTGGTGTTTGGTGTTTTGGGGCTAATGGAAAGGGAGAGGGAGATGGAGTGGGTTGGGGAGGGGAGGGGAAGGTGATGGTGATGGAATTGGAGATGGGGGAGGAGGAGGAGATATGAGAAAAAGTGGAGGGGTGGAGGAGTGGAGGGGTGGAGGGGTGGAGTGGAGGAGTGGAAGAATAAGGAGGATGGAATGGAAGATGGGAGATGGA